TACATGCTCTCTAAGAATGCCCCATCACTACCATTGAAGTCATTGTGCATGCTCTCTAAGAATGTCCCATCACTACCATTGAAGTCGTTGTGCTCTCTAAGAATGTCCCATCACTACCATTGAAGTCATTGTGCATGCTCGCTGGGATTGTCCCATCACTACCATTGAAGTCATTTTGCATGCTCGCTGGAATTGTCCAATCACTACCATTGAAGTTATCTTACACGCTCGCTAAGATTGTCCCATCACTACCATTGAAGGCATTGTGCATGCTCTCTAAGAATGTCCCATCACTACCATTGAAGTCATTCTACATGCTCGCTGGGATTGTCCCATCAGTACCATTGAAGTCATTGTACACGCTATCTAAGATTGTTCCATCACTACCATTGAAGGCATTGTACATGCTCTCTAAGATTGTCCCATCACTACCATTGAAGTCATTGTGAACGCTCGCTGGGATTGTCCCATCACTACTATTGAAGGCATTGTACATGCTCTCTAAGAATGTCCCATAACTACCATTGAAGTCATTGTACACGCTCGCTGGGATTGTCCCATCACTACCATTAAAGTCATTGTACACGCTCGCTGGGATTGTCCCATCACTACCATTGAAGTCATTGTGCACGCTCACTGGGATTGTCCCATCACTACCATTGAAGTCATTGCACACGCTCTCTAAGATTGCCCCATCACTTCCATTGACGTCATTGTACACGCTCTCTGGGATTGTCCCATAACTACCATTGAAGTCATTGTGCATATTCGCTGTAATTGTCCCATAGCTACCATTGAAGTCATTGTGCATGCTTTCTAAGATTGTCCCATCACTACCATTGAAGTCATTGTACATGTTGTCTGGGATTGTCCCATCACTACCATTGACGTCATTGTACACGCTCGCTTGGATTGTCCCATCAGTACTATTGAACTCATTGAACGCGCTCGCTGGGATTGTCCCATCACTACCATTGAAGTCATTGTACATGCTCTCTAAGAATGTCCCATCACTACCATTGAAGTCATTGTGCATGCTCGCTTGGATTGTCCCATCACTACCATTGAAATCATTTTGCATGCTCGCTGGAATTGTCCAAGCACTACCATTGAAGTCATTGTGCATGTTCTCTAAGAATGTCCCATCACTACCATTGAAGTCATTCTACATGCTCGCTGGGATTGTCCCATCACTACCATTGAAGTCATTGTACACGCTCGCTAAGATTGTTCCATCACTACCATTGAAGGCATTGTACATGCTCTCTAAGATTGTCCCATCACTACAATTGAAGTCATTGTGCATGCTCTCTAAGAATGTCCCATCACTACCATTGAAGTCATTGTGCATGCTCGCTGGAATTGTCCAATCACTACCATTGAAGTCATTGTACACGCTCTCTAAGATTGTTCCATCACTACCATTGAAGGCATTGTACATGCTCTCTAAGATTGTCCCATCACTACCATTGAAGTCATTGTGCTCTCTAAGAATGTCCCATCACTACCATTGAAGTCATTGTGAACGCTCGCTGGGATTGTCCCATCACTACTATTGAAGGCATTGTACATGCTCGCTAAGATTGTTCCATCACTACCATTGAAGGCATTGTACATGCTCTCTAAGATTGTCCCATCACTACCATTGAAGTCATTGTGCTCTCTAAGAATGTCCCATCACTACCATTGAAGTCATTGTGAACGCTCGCTGGGATTGTCCCATCACTACCATTGAAGTGATTGTACATGCTCGCTAAGATTGTTCCATCACTACCATTGAAGGCATTGTACATGCTCTCTAAGAATGTCCCATAACTACCATTGAAGTCATTGTACACGCTCGCTGGGATTGTCCCATCACTACCATTAAAGTCATTGTACACGCTCGCTGGGATTGTCCCATCACTACCATTGTAGTCATTGTGCACGCTCACTGGGATTGTCCCATCACTACCATTGAAGTCATTGTACACGCTCTCTAAGATTGCCCCATCACTTCCATTGACGTCATTGTACACGCTCTCTGGGATTGTCCCATAACTACCATTGAAGTCATTGTGCATATTCGCTGTAATTGTCCCATAGCTACCATTGAAGTCATTGTGCATGCTTTCTAAGATTGTCCCATCACTACCATTAAAGTCATTGTACATGTTGTCTGGGATTGTCCCATCACTACCATTGACGTCATTGTACACGCTCGCTTGGATTGTCCCATCAGTACTATTGAAGTCATTGTACACGCTCGCTGGGATTGTCCCATCACTACCATTGAAGTCATTGTACATGCTCTCTAAGAATGTCCCATCACTACCATTGAAGTCATTGTGCATGCTCGCTGGAATTGTCCCATTACTACCATTGAAGTCATTGTGCTCTCTAAGAATGTCCCATCACTACCATTGAAGTCATTCTACATGCTCGCTGGGATTATCCCATCACTACCATTGAAGTCATTGTACACGCTCGCTAAGATTGTTCCATCACTACCATTGAAGGCATTGTACATGCTCTCTAAGAATTTCCCATCACTACCATTGAAGTCATTGTGCATGCTCGCTGGGATTGTCCCATCACTACCATTGAAGTCATTGTGCTCTCTAAGAATCTCCCATCACTACCATTGAAGTCATTGTGAACGCTCGCTGGGATTGTCCCATCACTACCATTGAAGTCATTGTGCATGCTCGCTAAGATTGTTCCATCACTACCATTGAAGGCATTGTACATGCTCTCTAAGATTGTCCCATCACTACCATTGAAGGCATTGTACATGCTCTCTAAGAATGTCCCATAACTACCATTGAAGTCATTGTACACGCTCGCTGGGATTGTCCCATCACTACCATTGAAGTCATTGTGCACGCTCACTGGGATTGTCCCATCACTACCATTGAAGTCATTGTACACGTTCTCTAAGATTGTCCCATCACTTCCATTGACGTCATTGTACACGCTCTCTGGGATTGTCCCATCACTACCATTGAAGTCATTGTACATGCTCTCTAAGAATGTCCCATCACTACCATTGAAGTCATTGTGCATGCTCGCTGGGATTGTCCCATCACTGCCATTGAAGTCATTTTGCATGCTCGCTGGAATTGTCCCATTACTACCATTGAAGTCATTGTGCTCTCTAAGAATGTCCCATCACTACCATTGAAGTCATTCTACATGCTCGCTGGGATTATCCCATCACTACCATTGAAGTCATTGTACACGCTCGCTAAGATTGTTCCATCACTACCATTGAAGGCATTGTACATGCTCTCTAAGAATTTCCCATCACTACCATTGAAGTCATTGTGCATGCTCGCTGGAATTGTCCAATCACTACCATTGAAGTTATCTTACACGCTCGCTAAGATTGTCCCATCACTACCATTGAAGTCATTGTGCTCTCTAAGAATCTCCCATCACTACCATTGAAGTCATTGTGAACGCTCGCTGGGATTGTCCCATCACTACCATTGAAGGCATTGTACATGCTCTCTAAGATTGTCCCATCACTACCATTGAAGGCATTGTACATGCTCTCTAAGATTGTCCCATCACTACCATTGAAGGCATTGTACATGCTCTCTAAGAATGTCCCATAACTACCATTGAAGTCATTGTACACGCTCGCTGGGATTGTCCCATCACTACCATTGAAGTCATTGTGAACGCTCACTGGGATTGTCCCATCACTACCATTGAAGTCATTGTACACGCTCTCTAAGATTGTCCCATCACTTCCATTGACGTCATTGTACATGCTCTCTGGGATTGTCCCATAACTACCATTGAAGTCATTGTGCATATTCGCTGTAATTGTCCCATAGCTACCTTTGAAGTCATTGTGCATGCTCTCTAAGATTGTCCCATCACTACCATTGACGCCATTGTACACGCTCTCTGGGATTGTCCCGTAAATACTATTGAAGTCATTTTACACGCTCACTGGGATTGTCCCATCACTACCATTGAAGTCATTGTGCACGCTCACTGGGATTGTCCCATCACTACCATTGAAGTCATTGTACACGCTCTCTAAGATTGTCCCATCACTTCCATTGACGTCATTGTACACGCTCTCTGGGATTGTCCCATAACTACCATTGAAGTCATTGTGCATATTCGCTGGAATTGTCCCATAGCTACCATTGAAGTCATTGTGCATGTTGTCTGGGATTGTCCCATCACTACCATTGACGTCATTGTACACGCTCGCTTGGATTGTCCCATCAGTACTATTGAAGTCATTGTACACGCTCTCTGGGATTGTCCCATAACTACCATTGAAGTCATTGTGCATATTCGCTGAAATTGTCCCATCACTACCATTGAAGGAATTGTACACTAAGTAAAAACCCTAACCATAATTATTATACAAAGTAATGACCCTAACCGTAATTATTACACAAAGAAATAACCCTAACCGTAATTATTACACAAAGTAATAACCTTAACCGTAATTATTACACAAAGTAATAACCCTAACCGTAATTATTACAGTATGTAGTTTATTACAACAGAGGCATTATCTCGGACATCTGAAATGCTAACCAGCTGAGGAGTATACTGATCAAGAGTAACAGCGGTTATTATTGAATTCCTCTGTTTGTAATTAATCAGTTTCTGTTGACAGTATGATGTGGAGAAACTGACCGTGCTTCATAAAATTTGTGATGTAAGTTTTCTCTGATCGCGGATAAAGGAAAAGTATATGACAAGGGGAATAACTCAAATGTTATCCACGTATCAGTACAGCCTAGCGTCAACAAAATAGGCTCTCCTTTGATTTCGTCTTCTTTGAGAAGATGGTTTATTCATTCATTGGTTATGTATGTGAGGTTATGAAGAAAGCGTCTACACACGATAGTGCCATTATCTCGGGCGTTCAATAATATACTTTCAAATCATATCAGATTCGTACACGCCGTAGTCTTAGGGAGCAGTTCGTCTGTTAACATCGTTATCGTGACAGGTGTATATACTTTCAGTAAAAAGGAATAATTATGACTAAACATGGTGGGACGCTCATACAAATTGGGGATACAATTTTACCTCAGTGTAACGCAAACTCAAAGGGACAGTCTGATCACAATATAGCAAACTCAAAGGGACAGTCGGATCACAATATAGCAAACTCAAACGGACAGTCAGATCACAATATAGCAAACTCAAACGGACAGTCGGATCACAATATAGCAAACTCAAACGGACAGTCGGATCACAATATAGCAAACTCAAAGGGACAGTCGGATCACAATATAGCAAACTCAAACGGACAGTCGGATCACAATATAGCAAACTCAAACGGACAGTCGGATCACAATATAGCAAACTCAAACGGACAGTCGGATCACAATATAGCAAACAATATCAAACGGACAGTCGGATCACAATATAGCAAACTCAAACGGACAGTCGGATCACAATATAGCAAACTCAAACGGACAGTCGGATCACAATATAGCAAATACGGACAGTCGGATCACAATATAGCAAACTCAAACGGACAGTCGGATCACAATATAGCAAACTCAAACGGACAGTCGGATCACAATATAGCAAACTCAAACGGACAGTCGGATCACAATATAGCAAACTCAAACGGACAGTCGGATCACAATATAGCAAACTCAAACGGACAGTCGGATCACAATATAGCAAACTCAAACGGACAGTCGGATCACAATATCCGTATATTCTTTCTATGTATTCTATTCCTGGTCCCTATCAACAGCTGTCCTCACAATAATCACGATACTGACTGTTATTTAAACAACGCTATTTTCCCAAAGGGTAGTAGATGCACCCGTTATAAAAAGTTTTACAGTGCTGAAAATCATTTGTTCCGAGGGGTAAATTTTCCGATGAATGACTGCTGGGGGACCAGGTGATGTCCTAGAGAGATTGGGAACCAGGAGGTGTCTTAGTGAGCTTGGGGACCAGGCGGTGCCCTAGAGACCTTGGGGACCAGGTTGTGTCCTAGAGAGGGGGGGGGGGGGGGGGGGTGTGGAACCAGGTGGTGTCCTTGAGAGCTAAGGGACCAGGAGGTGTCCTAGAGAGCTTGGGGACCAGGTGGTGCCTTAGAGACCTTGGGGACCAGGTGGTGTCCTAGAGAGGGGAGGAACCAGGTGGTGTCCTTGACAACCAAGGGACCAGGAGGTGTCCTAGAGAGCTTGGGGACTATGTGCTGTCCTAGAGAGCATGGGGACCAGGTGGTGTCCTTGAGAGGTTGGAGACCAGGAGGTGTCCTTGAGAGCTAAGGGACCAGGAGGTGTCCTAGAGAGCTTAGTTACCAGGTGGTGTCCTAGAGAGCTTGGGGACTATGTGCTGTCCTAGAGAGCATGGGGACCAGGTGATGTCCTAGAGGGCTTGGGGACCAGGAGGTGTCCTAGAGAGCTAAGGGACCAGTAGGTGTCGTGTCCTAGAGACCTTAGTTACCAGGTGGTGTCCTAAAGAGCTTGGGGACTATGTGCTGTCCTAGAGAGCTAAGGGACCAGTAGGTGTCGTGTCCTAGAGACCTTAGTTACCAGGTGGTGTCCTAGAGAGTTTGGGACCAGGTGGTGTCGTAGAGTGGTGGGGAACCAGGTGGTGTCCTTGGGAGCTAAGGGACCGGGAGGTGTCCTAGAGAGCTTAGGGACCAGGTTGTGTCCTGGAGAGCTGGTGACCAATTTCCTAAGGGAAAGTTGCCTCTGTTTTGTAGGTGATGCCCCAAAGCTCTAGTGACCAACTTTCCAAGGCGATATCCAAGAGGCTCCTGTTATGTAGTGCTGCTGACCTACTCCTGTGGGATGCCAATTATGTTCAATACAAAAAAGAAAACAACTTTATAAATTAATAAAAGCATATTTTTAATTTTGATGAAGTTTTCACCAAAGTTACAGTTTTAACAACTTCAGACAATTCCATCAAGGATTTTAATACATGTACAAAATTTATATACACCCCCTGATGGTTGTCCTTATTGTTTATACATTAAGCCATTATCTATGGTTCTTGTACACTATATATTTGTTCATAATGATACAAAAATTATATATACATCAATGTACTTAATATGTCATACAGTCTTCATTCTCTTTAAAATAGGCAACAAAAATCCTGGCCTACTATATAGACATATGGCCTTGGTAACATATCACAGAGATGAACTTGTGTTCATTCTTCCATACACTATCTATGTAATGTCTTTAAATAATCACACATAAAACGAGACGTATACATTGCACATTAACTGGTTGTTTGGTGATGTAATACACATATCTTCTTATGGTCCATTCCACTTGTTTCTTCCCCATTTATTTTTATTTGTTAATCAAAGATTAAGCAGATACTCAACAAGTCACGATTCACCATTAGAAACAGGTAAATGTTCTAAAATTTAATAGTGTGTAGTTTTTTTCCTAATGAGAACAAAATGTGTTTGAGTTTTCCTCCTGTTGACTTGCCCTTGCCAACTATATCTAGAGTGTTCCCCAAATCACATTTAACATGCTAAAGAGAAATCACCTGAAGACAAGTCAATAAGACTGGTAAAATCACCTATAATATCCATAAAGTTTGGAATCCACAGAGAACCTTAAATCATGGTCTTGAATTCACAACATTTCAATGTTTTTCTAAAATATATAAATTACTTCCTGTATCCCATTCCAAAGTATTCCTAAGACACTAATAACACTTGGGTTAAACACAGAAATGAGCAATGCTATCAAAAGAACTGCTGTGGTTCAACTCTTCTAACCCAAACTTCCCCCCCACCCCAGAACTACAAAGTTCCTAAATAAGCTGAAAAACAAACCAGACAATATTAATAAACATTAAATACAGTTATATAGATATGGAGAAATAATTGGTACAGTTAGACAATATACGTAAAAATATGTAACTCTGTTAGCACTGATAGATCGAACGTTTAATAGACTAATCAGTTCAACTTTTATGTCAAAGTAAAGTGATGAAAATTGTTTGTTTACATAGACAATGAAACAACAAGACTTCATGTTATAGACAGAAATTGTAGGAGGAATGCTTGGTAAGGTTCTATACTAAATATAAAACTGGTATTATCCTCATCTTAAACAGCAGTGCAAGGGTAATGTAGATTGGTGAGAATTCCCCTTACATGAAGGCACTAGGCAATGTTACCATTTACCTTGACACAAATACACTATGGAACCTATAAATCTTCCGCTGATTTTGCTGCAAGCATACAGCTGATGTTTCAAATATCAAAACTAAGCAACAGGAAGCACCAAATAGTTGCACCAAACAAAACAGAAAAAAAAATTTAAAAAAGCAAAGAAAAAACTTGAATTACACCAATCAATAATTACTACATGTTTCTGCTGTCTTTTAGTATGTTTACCCAAAATGCTCTGTAAACAAGATTGTCACATGAAAACAAAACAAAAGATTTTCTCACTGATGTAGTAATTAGAGTGAAGTGTAATGACGCTGAGAGGAAATTATAGCATGTAAGCTTCCCATATGGAGCCTGGTTGTATAAAAACCTGGAAATAATCCCTATATTGTGGTTTTATTGGCAATGGCTTGGTTATGGTGTTAAAATCTCTATATAATCCTATGGACAGGGGTTTTACTGAATGCCCTTATCAAATTGCCAAAGTATTGCGTTATTGCTTTGGATCATATGACTGACCTATCATCTTTTTTTGGTTTTAATTTTGACATCATGCAACAGAACTTTATATTTAGATCGATTCTACAAAGGAAAACTTTACTGTATGGTCATCTCTGATTCTCCTCTAGAAGCAGAAACATGAACTGATAGCAGGAGTCATTTTAAGTTGTGTGCCATATAAAATCTTATCTTTTAGAAGTTTGTTTACAATACTTCTAATACAAAAATGTCTGATGTTTGAAAGGTTAGAAAATATTGAATATTCTGTCTTTTGCAACCAGGTTTTTTACAATGCAGGCAGATCCAAATAAACCAGTTGCTCACATGCCCTAAATTTGCTGTTCAAGAAACATGTAATGGAAAAAAAACAAAAAGAAGCTGTGGTCTCCATAATCACATGCACATGTAAACACATTCATTCTGACAGAAATTAATATCATGGTGTAAAATGAACAATGAGAGGCTGGGACAAAGTGAATACATGCAATGCTTTAAAACCTAGTCCAGCATGTCAGCAACTATAGGCGACACTGACTTATTGTATTAAATATGTGTTGAAGATTGACGTTAAAATTTGCTTGATTATAACTTTGAGGAGAAGGAAAGTGACTTGAAATATCTAGTTCATCATACACATTGAAGATACAGCAGGATTACACCCCTACAAGTCATTGATACTTTGTAGAACTATTGAAAATTAATTTTCCATTATCAAACATAAATTTCCAATCATTCATGGCTATCATTTAAAATAAAGATAATTACACGATTCTTCTGAAAAAAGTCCCTGACAATGAAGAGTACTTTCAGTTTCTGGACTGCAGCACTCATCATAGATATGGTAAAAATTTGGGTTAAAGAAGATGACATCTGAAACATGCATGCCAAGTTGAATACATGCATTCACGCTAGATCAGCTGGAGATTGGAATGGTGATCTATTCTGGCACTAGATGAGAATCTTCCATCTACGTGACAGGAGACAGGAGTTTATTTAAACATCGCACACCCTTCTCTTGGTATTCTTCTCGGGTCATCCAGAAACTGTCCTTATCCTTCATTATATCAGCTAATACAGCACCACCTAAGAACACCATGTGCTTCCTTCTTGGGGGGTCTTCTATCCGAATTTTAAATTTCTGTAAATCAAATCAATAAAGGATGTAAAATTTTATTCTAAGGTAATTAAATTTCAACATCGAAAGTGCAAGTAGTGGTACAAAAACACACAGCACAACGTAACACACTTCACATGCACAAAATATCTGTAAATAATGAAAAAAAATTCAAATTAATCACAGAAAATACATGCCTAATAATGAAAAAAGTAAAGTTACCTTTGACTGGCAAGTAGACAGCAAAGAAAAAACATGAGAGAAATCAATACGATCAGCATTTATACAAGCAGAGAGGAAGAACAAAAGCAGATGTTGTCTGTTTAGCTAGTCTCTTGTAACAACTGTAAATACAGGTCAGAAAGTGAAACTAGGACAAAAGTCAATTATCTAAAACATTATTCATATCAAAAAAGTTTTTATTATTATTGTTAAAAGGGAGAAATATCCTCAATAATAAAAGTAATTATCAAATATCTTAGATAAGTGAACAAATATATGACTATCCAAAAAAACCCTGCTTACACGTTTATTTTCTCTCTCCACAAAACATTAACTACTATATCAATCATTAAAATACATGTTTTATGCCACACTGCAGCCTGTGATAGCCAGAATAAACTGTCAAACACTGACACACTGTACACTGCAGCCTGTGATAGCCAGAATAAACTGTCAAACACTGACACACTGTACACTGCAGCCTGTGATAGCCAGAATAAACTGTCAAACACTGACACACTGTACACTGCAGCCTGTGATAGTCAGAACAAACTGTCAAACACTGACACACTGTACACTGCAGTCTGTCATAATCAGAACAAACTGTCAAACACTGACACACTGTACACTGCAGCCTGTGATAGCCAGAACAAACTGTCAAACACTGACACACTGTACACTGCAGCCTGTGATAGTCAGAACAAACTGTCAAACACTGACACACTGTACACTGCAGCCTGTGATAGCCAGAATAAACTGTCAAACACTGACACACTGTACACTGCAGCCTGTGATAGTCAGAATAAACTGTCAAACACTGACACACTGTACACTGCAGCCTGTGATAGTCAGAACAAACTGTCAAACACTGACACACTGTACACTGCAGCCTGTGATAGTCAGAACAAACTGTCAAACACTGACACACTGTACACTGCAGCCTGTGATAGTCAGAACAAACTGTCAAACACTGACACACTGTACACTGTAGCCTGTGATAGTCAGAATAAACTGTCAAACACTGACACACTGTACACTGCAGCCTGTGATAGTCAGAACAAACTGTCAAACACTGACACACTGTACACTGTAGCCTGTGATAGTCAGAACAAACTGTCAAACACTGACACACTGTACACTGTAGCCTGTGATAGTCAGAATAAACTGTCAAACACTGACACACTGTACACTGCAGCCTCTGATAGTGGTGCCAGAATAAACTGTCAAACACTGACACACACACTGTACACTGACAGCCTGTGATAGACAGAATAAACTGTCAAACACTGACACACTGTACACTGCAGCCTGTGATAGTCAGAACAAACTGTCAAACACTGACACACTGTACACTGTAGCCTGTGATAGTCAGAATAAACTGTCAAACACTGACACACTGTACACTGCAGCCTGTGATAGCCAGAATAAACTGTCAAACACTGACACACTGTACACTGCAGCCTGTGATAGTCAGAACAAACTGTCAAACACTGACACACTGTACACTGCAGCCTGTGATAGTCAGAACAAACTGTCAAACACTGACACACTGTACACTGTAGCCTGTGATAGTCAGAATAAACTGTCAAACACTGACACACTGTACACTGCAGCCTCTGATAGTGGTGCCAGAATAAACTGTCAAACACTGACACACTGTACACTGCAGCCTGTGATAGTGGTGCCAGAATAAACTGTCAAACACTGACACACTGTACACTGCAGCCTGTGATAGTCAGAATAAACTGTCAAACACTGACACACTGTACACTGTAGCCTGTGATAGTCAGAATAAACTGTCAAACACTGACACACTGTACACTGCAGCCTCTGATAGTCAGAATAAACTGTCAAACACTGACACACTGTACACTGCAGCCTGTGATAGTCAGAATAAACTGTCAAACACTGACACACTGTACACTGCAGCCTCTGATAGTGGTGCCAGAATAAACTGTCAAACACTGACACACTGTACACTGCAGCCTCTGATAGTGGTGCCAGAATAAACTGTCAAACACTGACACACTGTACACTGCAGCCTGTGATAGTCAGAATAAACTGTCAAACACTGACACACTGTACACTGCAGCCTCTGATAGTGGTGCCAGAACAAACTGTCAAACACTGACACACTGTACACTGCAGCCTGTGATAGTGGTGCCAGAACAAACTGTCAAACACTGACACACTGTACACTGCAGCCTCTGATAGTGGTGCCAGAATAAACTGTCAAACACTGACACACTGTACACTGCAGCCTGTGATAGTCAGAACAAACTGTCAAACACTGACACACTGTACACTGCAGCCTGTGATAGCCAGAATAAACTGTCAAACACTGACACACTGTACACTGCAGCCTGTGATAGCCAGAATAAACTGTCAAACACTGACACACTGTACACTGCAGCCTGTGATAGCCAGAATAAACTGTCAAACACTGACACACTGTACACTGCAGCCTCTGATAGTGGTGCCAGAACAAACTGTCAAACACTGACACACTGTACACTGCAGCCTGTGATAGTGGTGCCAGAACAAACTGTCAAACACTGACACACTGTACACTGCAGCCTGTGATAGCCAGAATAAACTGTCAAACACTGACACACTGTACACTGCAGCCTGTGATAGCCAGAATAAACTGTCAAACACTGACACACTGTACACTGCAGCCTGTGATAGCCAGAATAAACTGTCAAACACTGACACACTGTACACTGCAGCCTGTGATAGCCAGAATAAACTGTCAAACACTGACACACTGTACACTGTAGCCTGTGATAGTCAGAACAAACTGTCAAACACTGACACACTGTACACTGTAGCCTGTGATAGTCAGAACAAACTGTCAAACACTGACACACTGTACACTGTAGCCTGTGATAGCCAGAACAAACTGTCAAACACTGACACTGTACACTGCAGCCTGTGATAGTCAGAATAAACTGTCAAACACTGACACTGTACACTGTAGCCTGTGATAGTCAGAACAAACTGTCAAACACTGACACACTGTACACTGTAGCCTGTGATAGTCAGAACAAACTGTCAAACACTGACACTGTACACTGTAGCCTGTGATAGTCAGAACAAACTGTCAAACACTGACACACTGTACACTGTAGCCTGTGATAGTCAGAACAAACTGTCAAACACTGACACACTGTACACTGCAGCCTGTGATAGTCAGAATAAACTGTCAAACACTGACACACTGTACACTGCAGCCTGTGATAGTCAGAACAAACTGTCAAACACTGACACACTGTACACTGCAGCCTGTGATAGCCAGAATAAACTGTCAAACACTGACACACTGTACACTGCAGCCTGTGATAGCCAGAACAAACTGTCAAACACTGACACACTGTACACTGCAGCCTGTGATAGTCAGAACAAACTGTCAAACACTGACACACTGTACACTGCAGCCTGTGATAGCCAGAATAAACTGTCAAACACTGACACACTGTACACTGCAGCCTGTGATAGCCAGAATAAACTGTCAAATAAACTGTCAAACACTGACACACTGTACACTGCAGCCTGTGATAGCCAGAATAAACTGTCAAACACTGACACACTGTACACTGCAGCCTGTGATAGTCAGAACAAACTGTCAAACACTGACACACTGTACACTGTAGCCTGTGATAGTCAGAACAAACTGTCAAACACTGACACACTGTACACTCTGTCGTCAAAACATGAAATTACAACAATTTGATCTGGTGTCAAATATCCATCTTGTTTTCATTTCATTCACAATTTATTCTATAAGCTTCATATAACACTGAAGACTGTCTATAGCAGTCATGCTATTATCTAACACTACAACAATGATGTAATCTACTTATTAGTAACATGATGGAGAATGCTTCTCTATAGATCTAACATGTAATATTTAACAGATCAATGATGTACATCACAAAGCTATTATAAACAGGAGCTCTGTAAAGGAAATATTAAAAAGACCTGTTGTAAATATATAAGTTTGTTTAATTTGTTGTTACTTTACAACCTATTAATAGCCAGGGTTATTAAAGGATGGGCCAGGTTTCGGTGGTGGTGGAAAGCTGGAGTTCCCAGTGAAAAACCACCGACCTATAGCCAGGTCAGTGGTCATTACCTGGCAACTGCCCAATTGTGGCCTCACATCTGCAATCCAGAGGTAAATGGCATGTGATATAAAGACAGTCAGAAACCTCGACCATTCAGCCACAGCTGCCTCTCCAATACCAGGGTAGGTAGCCCTGATGATACTACTTGTGATGTCATCACCACATTACAAGGATTTTTGTATCTGCAGTTGCTTAATGAATTTTGAGTGTTTAAACACTATGTCATTACCACTAGACCAAGTACACTACCACAATAGTTTCCAAGCTTACTTTATAGTTTCTCAAACAAGCAGTCTATAAGTATTTAACACAAATTCTCATTGTCTCCTATCAGTACTCTATCTAGGAAGTCACTATATTCTGACACACAGCTATACATACTGACAGTCTACTGTGTCTCTCTACAGTACTCTATCTAGGTAGTCACTATATTCTTACACACGGCTATACATACTGACAGTCTACTGGTGTCTCCTATCAGTACTCTATCTAGGTAGTCACTATATTCTGACACACGGCTATACATACTGACAGTCTACTGGTGTCTCACTACAGTACTCTATCTAGGTAGTCACTATATTCTGACACACGGCTATACATACTGACAGCCATCTGGTGTCTCTCTACAGTACTCTATCTAGGTAGTCACTATATTCTGACAGCTATACATACTGACAGTCTACTGGTGTCTCTCTATAGTACTCTATCTAGGTAGTCACTATATTCTGACACACGGCTATACATACTGACAGCCATCTGGTGTCTCTCTACAGTACTCTATCAAGGTAGTCACTATATTCTGATAGCTATACATACCGATAGTCTACTGGTGTCTCTCTACAGTACTCTATCTAGGTAGTCACTATATTCTGACAGCTATACATACTGACAGTCTACTGGTGTCTCTCTACAGTACTCTATCTAGGTAGTCACTATATTCTGACAGCTATTCATACTGACAGTCTACTGGTGTCTCTCTACAGTACTCTATCTACGTAGTCACTATATTCTGACACACGGCTATACATACTGACAGTCTACTGGTGTCTCTCTACAGTACTCTATCAAGGTAGTCACTATATTCTGATAGCTATACATACCGACAGTCTACTGGTGTCTCTCTACAGTACTCTATCTAAGTAGTCACTATATTCTGATAGCTATACATACCGATAGTCTACTGGTGTCTCACTACAGTACTCTATCTAGGTAGTCACTATATTCTGACAGCTATACATACTGACAGTCTACTGGTGTCTCTCTACAGTACTCTATCAAGGTAGTCACTATATTCTGATAGCTATACATACCGACAGTCTACTGGTGTCTCCCTTCAGTACTCTTTCTAAGTACAGCTGTTTTAGCTCTCTCTCAAGTCGACTAGGCAGGCCTGGGTACATTGTGGAGCCACCTGACAGAACAATGTGACGGTAGAAGTCTGGCCGTGTATCCATATCAGCTGACTGAATTGTGTTAAAAAGAAGTTCAGCCACACCCACTCCATCCACATTGATGAGATGAGGCTGGAACAGGGCCTCTGGTGCTTCAAACCTTTCCCCGCCCACTTTTATAACTCTACCATCGGGCAGCTGTAACATACAAATATATAATCACATAAACTTTCTCTGGTTTAAATAACATGATCAAATATAAAAATGAGTTAAATCTAAAATACATGTGTAACCCCTACTTACAGAACCCTTATATAATGATATTTGATATTTCAAAGTATTATAAGAACAATTGTAAATATTGATGTCAATACAAAATTGGACAGAAATGTAGGTTTAGAGAATACAGTGAAGCTATATCCCATCATAAACAGGTTAATAAACACATAGAAAATTTCTGATGATGTTAAGAGTCTTGCTTGTCAGTTCAGTACTTCTTAGAGGTTATAGATACAAACATCAGCAGACATCAGTCTGAAGACATCATCACCACTGACAACACAAGTCAAGATGTAACTAGTCTTTACCTTACAGCACTAATTCAATACAGGACCTGAGAAAGATCTAGTCACAATCTCTTACATCCTTCAGAGGGATAACATACACACAATACACCACAACTTTAGTTCACTTCCGGTTCTGCCATCCTTCATTCATTCTTTTGTTTTTTTTAATCTTCCTCATTTTCTCACAAACAAATTTTTAGATGAAAGAATTTTTATGTGATATATACACAACTTACAATACATGATATTTTAAATACCCACAAATCATTGTTCATTCAACCGAATAGTGTCAGTTCAGTACTTCTTAGAGGTTGTAAATATAAACATCAGCACACATCAGTCTGAAGACATCATCACCACTGACAACACAATTCTGGAGATATTATGCGTACCTATAGTCTTTACAACGCAGCAATAATACAGAGCAGGCCCCAGAAAGATCAACTTGCCTTATATCTATCTCAGGAATAATGTACAGAAATACCACACATTTGTTTCCCATCAGCCCCTGTTGTTAATTCTCAGTTACATACATCATTCATTCATTTTATTTCCCTAATTTATCTCACTCTCTGCAATATTTTGAGATGAAAATTTTCTATGCGATGTATAACTTAAATACAAATCATATGATTTTTTTTTCAATGCCAATTTAATTTAATTCAACAGAATAGTGTCAGTTCAGTACTTCTTAGAGGTTGTAAATAGAAACATCAGCAGACATCAGTCTGAAGACATCATCACTACTGACAACACAGGAGGTATTCTGTATATCTTGTTTTTACCATACACAAACGCAAGCCAGGACCTGTTACCATACATAAATACAAGCCAGGACCTGTTACCATACATAAATACAAGCCAGGACCTGTTACCATACACAAATACAAGCCAGGACCTGTTACCATACATAAATACAAAACAGGACCTGTTACCATACATAAATACAAGCCAGGACCTGTTACCATACATAAATACAAGCCAGGACCTGTTACCATCCACAAATACAAGCCAGGACCTGTTACCATACATAAATACAAGCCTGGACCTGTTACCATACACAAATACAAGCCAGGACCTGTTACCATACACAAATACAAAACAGGACCTGTTACCATACACAAATACAAAACAGGACCTGTTACCATACACAAATACAAGCCAGGACTCAAGATATATCTAGCCAACATCTCTTATAGCCATCTTAGGAATAACATACGGACACACTACACACAACATACATACTTCTCTTGTTCAATCCTATTGAAGTATTTCCTTATAAACATGTTTAAATCTCTCTTCCTTTCAGCTATATTTTCAGTTGTAAACAAACTTCAACATAAACAATACTTTTTTTTGTTTCAATTGGGTATTTTTGTTTTTCATAGATCAGCATTGCTGCTTTTCAAAAGCCTTTTCGAGGAACCTCTTAAGAGTTTGGAATGTTGATTATAAGGTGTCAGTTCATTGTGGATAATTACCAGAAATACAAATATTTCTTATGTTGTTGATCTACTTCACTTCGACATGAATTATACTTTTTCATAGAACTTTAAGTCTGTTAAACATATGTATCACCATTTGTCTACAACATATAAAAGGTCCTATCAGAGTGCGAGTTCAACATTGTCTTCCTTCATCATTTTTGTTTTTATGTAAAAATAACCAATGATAAAAGATGATGCAACAAATACACTGAAGCATGCTGATCAGAAAACTTGGAATGAAAAGTACATAACACAGTGTATAACATACCATTACACAACAACAAGCAACCCTTCGCTTGAAACCAATTACTTGACAAATAGGAATCAAGTCACATTTCAAAAATGAAATCTGATGAAGTGTTGCATAGATAACATCAAACGTCCAGGTAATTTCTATGGTTATATCAGTTCAGCACTTCTTAGAGGACAAATGATTAGAACATCAGAAGTCAGTCTAGCACAAATCATCACTACTGACATAGCCAGCTAATATATATCATGGTACATACAGGCCCTGGACACATTAGAACATCAGAAGTCAGTCTAGAACACACCATCACCACTGACATAGCCAGCTAATATATATCATGGTACATACAGGCCCGAGACACATTAGAACATCAGAAGTCAGTCTAAAACACACCATCACCACTGACATAGCCAGCTAATATATATCATGGTACATACAGAAACAAACCTAATAGATAACCCTGAATCTGGCCCGGGACACATTAGAACAAGACACTATCTCTTCAGTGGGACCAGTACTAGTACCATAAAAATCAGCATTTATCTACTTTATACCACTTGATTTGGATTCTCAACTTAACAGAAACACATCAATAAGATTTAAGAGTCTTGCTTGTCAGTTCAGTACTTCTTAGAGGTTGTAAATACAAACATCAGCAGACATCAGTCTGAAGACATCATCACCACTGACAACACAATTCTGGAGGTATTCTGCATACCTATAGTCTTTACAATGTAGCAATAATACAGAGCAGGACCCAGAAAGATCAACTTGCCTTATATCTACCTCAGGAATAATGTACAGAAATACCACACATTTGTTTCCCATCAGCCCCTGTTGTTAATTCTCAGTTACATACATCATTCATTCATTTTATTTTCCTAATTTATCTCACTCTCTGCAATATTTTGAGATGAAAATTTTCTATGCGATGTATAACTTAAATACAAATCATATGATTTTTTTTTTCAATGCCAATAAACTTTAATTTAATTCAACAGAATAGTGTCAGTTCAGTACTTCTTAGAGGTTGTAAATATAAACATCAGCAGACATCAGTCTGAAGACATCATCATCACTGACATCAATTCAGAAGGTCTTCTGTATATCTTGTTTTTACCATACATAAATACAAGCCAGGACCTGTTACCATACAAAAATACAAGCCAGGACCTGTTACCATACATAAATACAAAACAGGACCTGTTACCATACACAAATACAAGCCAGGACCTGTTACCATACATAAATACAAGCCAGGACTGGAACCATACACAAATACAAAACAGGACCTGTCACCATACACAAATGCAAGCCAGGACCTGTTACCATACACAAATACAAGCCAGGACCTGTTATTATACACAAATACAAGCCAGGACCTGTTACCATGCACAAATACAAAACAGGACCCAAGATATATCTAGTCAATATCTCTCATAGCCATCTGAAGAATAACATACGGACACACTACACACAACATTTGTTTCTCAACTTTAGCTCAGCTCCTGTGGTTAATTCCTATTGTTGTAAATCTTTCATTCATTCATCTTTTTTTTTATATCTTTACACTTACTTCTCATAGCAATATTTTCAGATGAAAAAGATACAGGATTTTAAATTTGATGTTTTTGATACCCACAAATTATCATTTAATTCAACAGAATAGTGTCAGTTCAGTACTTCTTAGAGGTTATAGATACAAACATCAGCACACATCAGTCTGAAGACATCATCACCACTGACAACAATTCTGGAGGTACTTAAGTCTTTACAATGTTAATCTACCTGGTTATATGATATGGTACATGGTGATCAGAAATTTAAGAAAAACATACATATTTACAAACACCTAACACAATGGAACTCCTTCCTTATTTAGGTATATTATTTATCCTTTTTGACTTTTTTTTTTTATCAAATTCCTCACTTTGCAATATCTTCACACAAAAAAGTTTATGACATATAACAAAAACAAATATTAATTTGCATCTGATACTGTCAAACCAAAATTCAGCTTTAACATTAGGGCGGTTCCAGAATTAAATATGTGGGGACATCGGGTGGCAGCTGAATTTGTTTTCTTGTTGGCGATTGGGACAACATTAAATTTTTTTTACGTGCGATTGGTGCCGTTTCAAATTGAATTATATTGGTGACTAAATGTGACCTCCACAAAATAGAAATATGGGGGTAAATTTGATACAGAAAATCAGATTTTGTGGGTCACACAATTCTGTTGTTTTTGTTAAAGCGATCAAAATTAAATCATCAGTTTATTCTTCCAAATGCAAGTTTTTTTCATTCCAAAAGTTCAAGGGAGATAACTTGTGTTGGTTTTGAAACTCTCAGTGGATGTGAGAACTAATGCAATTTTGAAAGTTTTAATCAATTATTTGGGAAAACTGACTATATTCTTGCTCAGGGAAGCAACACGTATTTGTATTTGGCTGTTGTGGCTGTTTGGCACTAAGTTTACATGGAAAATAAAATTATTTGGGGGTTGCTTGAAGTAACAAATTTTATTGTATCGTTGGTTGGGGTGAAAAATATTGAAAACAATTATGTCCGCTAAGTACTCCTTAGAGGGAAAAGGTTGGACCATCAGTAGATTGAAGTAAGCCTCAGTATATCACCTACATCAAAACCTGGTCTACTATATGTTGTGCACTTACTGTGTAAGTTTCTACTAATACTGTAGTCTCCAGCGCCAGCTTCTGTTCCTGTTCAATATCATATCCAACGTAACACAACTTCTCCTTCAACATTCGCACTGTCTCAAAGTCAGCTGTGTGGTTAAATGCATACCCTCGCAATAGTAAAAGCTGCAATATAAATCATTCAATATATTGATAACTTCAACAGAAAATTATCAATTTTGAGATTCTGCTTTTGTGAAAATGAAATTTAAATTAAGTCTCTCATATATTGGATATCCTATTTTTAATTGTAATTGGTGAAAAATGAAACACGATGTACTACAATGGCTAAAAGGAAAAATACCCTGACCCTTCTGAAATTGAAGTCCTAACAGACGGCAATTTTTGTGGGTTTATACCTTAATAAGGTATCTTGTTATATCACGACCAGCAATATCAAGTCGTTTTGTTAGATGAGGTAGAGCAAAGCCTTCAAATACTGGACATATGTGGGTAACTCCATCTCCAGAATCTACAACTACTCCTGTTAACAGACCTGAAACAAGCGGAGAGAATGGTTTAGAACGGAAATAATAATTGTTACACATGAATAGCAGTGTTTGTATTTATGTCTATATGTCAAAAATTCTGTGCAAATTGTCAAGTTTTTTTTCAAAATACAAAGATATGTTTGTATATGGTTTTGGTTTACATACAGAATTTGTAGGTATAACTTAATTTTTAATGTATAGATCCTGGCAAGGCAGTGACCACAAAAATTGATCAGGAGACAAAGTGGGAAAAAGGCTAAAAATAGTTACTGTGTTGATTTTAGAGGGATAAAGCATTGTTACCTTGTGCATACAAAGTTAATACGGCCTGGATAGCTATATACACTCCTGCAAATTCATACTTCTCAAACATATACTGAAAATAGAAGAAATCAATGAAGTTAGCTTCCTGGAATTGAACAAATTTTCATTTAGTGTTAACAATAATGCTGATAGTATCAAATGAACTAAGTCCTTATCAATGACAATCAACAATTCACACACAATGATGATCATAAACTTACATCAGTCCTAGTAAAAGCTGCAATATAACTAATTAAAAAAACTATGATTTCAACAAAAAATTATCAATTTTGAGATTTTGCTTTTGTGAAAATGAAGTTAAAATTAAGTCATTTATACAGTGAATATCCTATTTCTAAATCCTTATCAATATCGATACCAATCACAATTCACATACAATGATGATCATGCACTTACTTCAGTCCTGACATTTTAGATTTTGCTTACCTCTACCATCTTCTCTCTATTCTTAGTAGGATTCATTGGTGGTTCTGTGAGCAGAATCTTACAATTTCTAGCATCCAGATCCAGTTTCTCTGGACCAAATGTGTAGTTGTACAGATGTTCCATATCCTCCCAGTTCCGTACCATACCATTCTCCATAGGGTAGTTTACTTCCAACATAGCACGTAGCTGGCTGGCTTCATCTCCTATCATCAGATCCTGTACAACAAAATAACCATTAAATGGGTCAGGGTTCATATATTGCTGATTATATTAATCAATAATACTATTAAAAGTACATGTAATGAATAAATACTTGTCAAATTCTTCATCTACAGCAATACTCAAATCACCTCAATTATTGTGATTTGAATATGGCTCTCCTATATTACAAGAACACAAAGTCACATGATCTGTGTAAAGTCACTCTTGGAGAAACATTTACCCTAAAATGAAATTGATCCCTGGTTATTTAGGCCTCTTTGAAGAACATTAAGCCCTGAAATGAAATTGACTCCTTTTCATTTAGATGATCAGAGTATCATATCATTATTTGGGTAATGGACCACCTCTCAATCCATCCAAAGTATCTACATCTAACTTTCATCCTTTGATAAAAAACTACCAGGAAGCTCTAGAACTGTGTGATAATGCTATCTCTATTTATAACTATGTTGGGAATCCTGTGCTACTTCCTTAATAGTTCTAGTTATCTTTGTCTAATATTACCTTGATTTCTATGTTGTCATGTTTCTCTGCAGATCTGATGATAGGCCTTCCTACTAAAGATGGGAAGATATGAGCAGGAAAGTTTGCTCCTGCATACCCACACTTGACAAACTGAAACACAGAAAAAGAAACTAGCTCAAACTGGTAATAATTTTACTTCATGCTGTATAAACTGGTCAGTTATCAAGCTGCTTTATTGATGGAACACAGAATATTTTGCATTGAAAAACTACTGGAATATATGTGTAAATTGTAAAGTTTATTGTACAGCACTGGCCACAAGCGAAATGAATATGCAATGTCTCGTTGATCTCTGGTGTTCAAATATTTTTGGGTGTACGGTTAGTCATTAATACCTGGAGTTTGTCACCAAAACATTCACTACAAATGAGGATATGTGAAGCTTACAGATTTGGACCAACCGCAGGTTTCCAGTTGTGACTAGCATAGGTGATACGTATATACACACTTGTATTCGAATTGCAATGAATTTAAACCAAAAATAAAACGTATCCGATCAGAATGAAACCATTAAATTATGATGACAAAAATACTTCCTGTGTGGTGTTTGTATATTGGATCTGTTTCTCTTCCGGGTATCTATCTGTCAAGTGAATAAAGCAAAATATTTGCAACAGGAGGACAATTAACGATTAAATTTGGGATTAACACAGACGAAACTTACACCAGTGCCATTATCGCAAACAACAACTTTTCTTCCCTGAGCATCCATGATCGATGATGCAGGATTTTTCTGTCTCAGTCGGCCTTTCTCAGACCATCGGAATCAACCGGACCGGAAGCTTACACCCCTAACATCAAACGAAATATCCTATTGGATGAATAGTAATTTTCAACCAATCAAAGGGTTGGTTGCAGCTATTTGCGGTAAGCACTTATCAAATATGGCCGACGCCGGCAGGATGACGACGAATGTAGGACTACTATTTCTTGTGTTTTCCATTTTATTGTCCTTTGGTCATAGCAAGAAGGCTTCAGAATCAGGTAAGAAGACATATCAATGCAATAACAGTATATTTGCATACTATTACGAAATCATCATTATATGCAGTAGTTTTTTTCATTCGAAAACAGCAAAAAATAACAGCTAACAGCTGTTCAATTACGTTGTTCGAATTCTTTGAGTGATTCATTAATACGTGACGGAGTTGGTTAAAGTGAAGAAGAAGTAGAAGAAGATTGTCGACATGATACGCATATGCCTGTGTACATGTTTTCAAAATATTATTTTAGGATGTTACCGGTTGGCAGGTTGGGTACAACCATGTATGGTTAACTAAATAGACTGGAGGGAAAGTTACTGCTCTGAACAATACATTAATTACCATAATGCGAGATCAGTTGAAATAAAATCACATTCTTTTAGACATCTTCTTTTACATAAAACTGAATAATTTAGTAATTTCGTAAAAAACAACAACCCTAAAACAAACTCTGTAACCTCCATAGTTTATGATGTGGCTAAGGAAAGAACACATGTAAATTCCTGCTCATCTATGACATTTGAATAAGATTCCTGCAAAGGCAGTGGTATACACTTGCAGTCAGTGATGTAAATTGTTGTTTTAGCAGAAGTTGGATAAGAGAAATATATATTTATATGAATATACACAGTGTCACATTTGCTATTAGGTCATGTTTAAAAGATAACAGCCTTTTTTTGGTAGCAAATTTTTATTAGCACTTTACTGCGGGTATGTAGATCTCTATTTCAAATGGTCCTGCATTTCAGTAAGTAATTGATTACCAAAAGCAATAACTATCCCTCAAATGCAGTACTATTGTACCCATATACAGGGTTGTGCTTAACCTGTGGGATGGATAGTCAGTTATATGTAATGTTTACACAGCTTACTTGTTTAAATGGCACATTTTTGAACAACTGACAGGGTTTGTGCTGCCAGTCGCATCAGCACAAAAGCTGAAAATGTGAATGATCAGGGAAAATTCTTGTTGAGCACCCCCTTAGGAATTGAATCATTGCTCTACCAAATGAGCTAAAGAACCAAGTTCAGTCAGATGACTTACATAAGACCATTTTTAACACTGTACCTGTGTACTTACAACACTGACCAACTCCTTTTAAATTTTACACTGCTGCAACATTCTCTGTTGTTTTTGAGATTTCCTAATTTTAAATCTGATACTCTAAATGTTAAACCTTTGGTGCCGATGTGAAAGAGCTGGGAAAACACATTATTATTCTAAAGTTCTACCAACTAATCCAAAGAAACAGGCTCCATCATTTTAGTTCCAGATGCCTTATTTACCACTGTGCAAATCCACACCAACCTGCTCCTTTTAGACAACATTTGGCTTAAATGAATCATTTTATTTGTTTTGAATTTATGAAAACTACTAACACATAGAGTGTCTGTCTTTTTCGTCATCTTTTGAGGCATACTAAATCTTACATGTAATGTATGGCTTTATATTTTGTCTGTTTTCAAACTTAGAACTAAAGGCTTAAACATTCATCATAGTATGTTTTCAATATTGTCCTATATAACATATTTAAATGGTACTCTTAATAGGTGCTTACAAGCAGATCAAAATAGAAATAGACCTTGGTCCTGATGGAGCAGAGGCAAAGCGATTTACTGCAGCAGAACTTCGTGGATATGACGGGAGAGATGTAAGTTAAAACCTGCCGTATATACAAAATGTAACCACTCTTCAAGATGTTATTGAAACAACATGCCATTCATTAAAACATAAGTTCATGTCATGTTTGTAAAGCCTACCAAGTTTCAAAGAGATTGCTGGTAAAATGATGGAGGAAATCTCTACCAGACAAATAAAAGTTTGATGAACAGAAAGATTATGATGCATATTTGATAAGCATTTAAAAATCTGTTGCATGATGATCAAAATTACAAGACAACATGAAGGTTCTCTTCATAGGAAACATTTTGAATTTTAAAAATACAGGACAAACAAATGTGTAAAGGAAAAAAATAATCAGAAAATTACTGAAGTATAACGTCTAGGTCAAAAATATATGATGACTGCCTGAAGGCATTAGTGTACCAAATATGTATAGCTTGTCATGGTGACCAAAGGCAATGATTAAACACCTTGTGCTAGTGACAGTGACTGACAGGATTACGATGACTGTGCTAACATATTTTACTAACCCTGATTGGTTGACATGTATCATGAGATATTGTTGGGTTAAGGTCATTTAATGGTCTATACTGAACCAGACATTTTGGTCTGTAGCTGTCTTCACATTTAATGGCCTATACTGAACCAGACATTTTGGTCAGTAGCTGTCTTCACATTTAATGGCCTATACTGAACCAGACATTTTGGTCTGTAGTTGCCTTCACATTTAATGGCTTATACTGAACCAGACATTTTGGTCTGTAGCTGTCTTCACATTTAATGGCCTATACTGAACCAGACATTTTGGTCTGTAGTTGCCTTCACATTTAATGGCTTATACTGAACCAGACATTTTGGTCTGTAGTTGTCTTCACATTTAATGGCTTATACTGAACCAGACATTTTGGTCACATTTAATGTAGTTGCCTTCACATTTAATGGCCTATACTGAACCAGACATTTTGGTCTTCACATTTAATGGTGAACCAGACATTTTGGTCTGTAGCTGTCTTCACATTTAATGGCTGTCTTCACATTTAATGGCCTATACTATACCAGACTGCCTTCACATTTAATGACCAGACATTTTGGTCTGTAGTTGTCTTCACATTTAATGGCCAATACTGAACCAGACATTTTGGTCTGTAGTTGCCTTCACATTTAATGGCTTATACTGAACCAGACATTTTGGTCTGTAGTTGTCTTCACATTTAATGGCCAATACTGAACCAGACATTTTGGTCTGTAGTTGCCTTCACATTTAATGGCTTATACTGAACCAGACATTTTGGTCTGTAGCTGTCTTCACATTTAATGGCCAATACTGAACCAGACATTTTGGTCTGTAGCTGTCTTCACATTTAATGGCTTATACTGAACCAGACATTTTGGTCTGTAGCTGTCTTCACATTTAATGGCATCTTAAAAGTTTCAATAAAGATACAGTTTTATCTATTGGAAAACAATTATTGTGTATCTCAATTTTGAAGGAATCTATTTTCTTTACTTCTCATGTGTGTGTTATAGATCAGTGGTTCAGTACATATACATACATATGTAACAGATGTTATCTACTATACTTAGATAAAGTTACAATACTTACAATAAACAGGCTGGTTTCACATCTAAATTTGATATTGACTGTACAACAGAATATAAATATACCTTTTATACAAGATCTTGTTAGTGATAAAGATGGATTGTGAATTATGTTCAATTTTCAGTTTTAAGCTTATTTGCTTTAATCCTAATTTATTTCTCTTTTCAGTCAAAAAAGCCCCTTTTGATGGCAGTGCGAGGTGTTGTGTTTGATGTGTCAGAGGGAAAAGGTAAAAATATGAGAATGAAATAAGAGTTACTTCGCTTAGGTTTTCCTGAACTAGGTATTATGCTTGTAACTGTCATGTTTTCTTTTGAAAAGCAAAATTCAGGAAACCAAACATCGGCTTTGAATATTTGTATCTATTCTTAAGTATGGTTTAATGTATAGAAACAAACAAAATACAAAGAACCTGAAAGGTATACCTTAGTCTGTAGTTGATGTCACTTCAATATTATTTCTGATAGATGTTAGAAGTTTGTTCAGGTACACAGTTTAGCAAAGTTGAATACCCATTTGGAATTTTATAGATGAATTCAGTTTGACAAGTCTTGGCATTAGAGCGACATGTTATAAAATGTCAAATTATCTGACAGATGTTTAAGTTCACATCGTGGTTTTAGAGTAAATTGAAGATAAGTCATACTTTGATAGAGACATTGTAGTTGCAGAGATATAGAGGGGTGTAATTTGATAGATATGTATTAAATCGTGACACTCCAAGAATGAAGTTCCCGTTTCTAATAGTGCTGGAGATAGGGCCCAGACTTTTTTTTCATGTAGGTCAAAGATCAAAATGTAGGTTACATACCCCATGTGTGAAGTTCCAGTGACTTGTAGAGAAGGCGATAGAGTCCAGACAAACTTTTTTTTAATGAAGGTCAAATGTCAAGATGTAGATCAAAGCAACATACTTTTGGTACATGAAATATAACCTCACATAGGGGAGCACATACCCCAAAAATGAAGTTTCAGAGACTGGTAGTGTAGGAGATAGAGCATGGACAATTATTTTCGGTGGTGTAGTTAAAAGGTCAAAATGTAGGTCAGATTGATCTACTTCCCAAGTATGAAGTTCCAGTGTCTAGAAGCAGAGTAGATTAGAGTTCAGACAAACATTTCTTTGCATGTAGGTAAAAGGTCAAAATGTGGGTGAGAGTGACTTACCTATGGTACAAAACAGCCACCTCACATATACTTGAAATACGAAGAACTAGTAACTTGTCCCTTCTTTTGCCAGATTTTTATGGACCAGATGCAGGTTACCATGCCCTTGTAGGTCGTGATGCCAGCCGTGCAATAGCCCTGTGGTCACTGGAGGAAAAAGACATGGTCCATGATCTGGTGTGTGAAATATTTTAAAAACTTTTTTTTTAACTTTTACATGAAAGTGTATGTAAGACAACTTTTATGTCTATGGAGTTCTATTATATATTAAGAGAATTGTTTTGTTTGTGTAGATGTATTATTACACTCTGAACACATTTTGAAAAGATTCTTTTGTGACAAGTAGTAATTATAATGAAAATAAAATATCAGAAAGAAATATATTAGAAAATATATTAGAATTGTGAATAATTTAATGACCACATTTATGCTTTATATCTCATTATTTTTGTATGTTGTGTATTTTTAGACTGGATTGAGTGATGATTCCCTGAAAGGTTTAGACGATGTATTTCTTGGTACCTACAAGAAAAAATACCCTGTGGTTGGCTACATGGACTATCTTATTGACTCCTACACAGAAAAAACATTTGAGGACAGGTTTAAAGAAGATTTATAGACTGTTAAATGCTATGCAATATCTATTATTTTTTCACAACTGAATTTTATTTTTTTGTATACAAATTCTATTTATACCACACAATTGTGATGTTATTAAAACTGATGTATGTAATTATACGATTGTGGAATTATCATGACTGAATTCTAGGTGACAAATGATTTTTGATAAAGAAATATAAAGTAAGGGCTTTTGAGTATGTAAGGAAGTTCAGAGTGCAATATATTTATACTATAGAATGATATTTGGTGAGGAGGTTGTTAGGCTGACTACAACAAACTGATGATAGTTGGCCAGACTGACTACAATAAAATGATGCTAGTTGGCGAGATGGTTGCCAGAATGTCAATCTTGGCCAAACAGATGGGAAGAATTGAGAATTGGTTTTTAATTTTTAATGAATTATATCCTTTTGGTTAAGATTTTTATGTCAGAATCTCCAAGCTTGATGCACATAATGTATTTGTTGTATTCAGCTGAAATCTCTCTGATCTTTTTTTTCCCAATCTGAATTCATTCTCCGCCATGATAACGTTAATTATGCTGTTCCTCAAGGGTTCTTCTTTAACAAGTTGATCTGTGATCCAAATGGAAGTATTCAGGAAAACATACTGAATAGGTAAAAAAAAAATCATTATATATTTATAATATGTGATTGATAGCTAATCTATATATGTGTCATCAGTGCATTTATACTTAATGATATCCATTTAATCACAGATACTTTATTATTTGTACCCTAAGAAGTTCATATTATGAAGATATTTGTTTGTATGTAAGTCAATGGTGCTGGATTGATGTCAAATATTTGTTAATATATTTTGATACATTTTGATAAGGTTTTAATATTACATGAGTTAATGAGCATTATCAAACCCAACGAAACTTAACTGTCATTCACCAGGGGGTGGAGGCACAACATCCCACAATCACTGTCGGTGTCATTCACCAGGGGGTGGAGGCACAACATCCCACAATCACCGTCGGTGTCATTCACCAGGTTGTGGAGGCACAACATCCCACAATCACCGTCGGTGTCATTCAACATCCCACAATCACCGTCGGTGTCATTCACCAGGTTGTGGAGGCACAACATCCCACAATCACCGTCAGTGTCCTTTACCAGGTGGTGGAGGCACAACATCCCACAATCACCGTCGGTGTCATTCACCAGGGGGTGGAGGCACAACCTCCCACAATCACCGTCGGTGTCCTTCACCAGGTTGTGGAGGCACAACATCCCACAATCACCGTCGGTGTCATTCACCAGGGGGTGGAGGCACAACATCCCACAATCACTGTCGGTGTCATTCACCAGGTTGTGGAGGCACAACATCCCACAATCACCGTCGGTGTCATTCACCAGGTGGTGGAGGCACAACATCCCACAATCACCGTCGGTGTCATTCACCAGGGGGTGGGGCACAACCTCCCACAATCACCGTCAGTGTCCTTCACCAGGGGGTGGAGGCACAACATCCCACAATCACCGTCGGTGTCATTCACCAGGGGGTGGAGGCACAACATCCCACAATCACCGTCGGTGTCATTCACCAGGGGGTGGAGGCACAACATCCCACAATCACCGTCGGTGTCATTCACCAGGGGGTGGAGGCACAACATCCCACAATCACCGTCGGTGTCATTCACCAGGGGGTGGAGGCACAACATCCCACAATCACTGTCTTACCTTAACCTTAGATCTCGTATTTATCAGTCCTAACCAACCATTGTCTTAGGAGGACCTTTATTTTGCATCTCAGATTTTCCTTAACACCAGTATTTAGTTGTTTACATGAGGTATTATATATTAAAAACCTGAGACATTGTTAACAACTACACTTTAACATTTTAGTAAGAGCAGCATTACCTGTCCATTGTTCTACTAATATTTTATACACTTGTAGATCAGTTTGTCACTAAAGGTAAGGATTTGTTTACTTCTAACATTCCATTTATCCAACATTTGTTGTTTTTATTCTACATAAGTATAATTGGATTTCCTGGTTTTTGAGTATTATTGTGTGCTCCTGATCTAGACTTGGTCAGTTAACATTGACCAAACTGATCAGGTCGGGGATCAACAAGTTATAATTATAGGCAAACATTTATAACGGACAATAACATATCATTATCTAATTCGTCAGAGGTAATAAAACGTTACATTTTTGTACCATTGTTTGACAGACTTTTATAGGGTATTCAAACAGGACTCAACTAATTCATGGTTTTGTTGGTTTTCTTAAACATAGAAAAGTATTATGGAGAAATCCTATTGAAATTCTGGATTACATTTATTAGTAAACAAAATCTGTAAATCATGCAAATTTTTTTTCCATGTAATTATGCATATGTAGCTCTGTATTTTTTTTGATCTATTGAGCTGTTGATATTTAGTGACAAATGCACAGATATTTACAGAGTATGGTAGTCAAAGTTTGAATATTTCTGAGAATCCTGTTAAAAAAGTCAGTTACATTTCTAAGTCATACACTTACACTTGTTAGATATATAATGGTGATTTATATGTTGACCATGGTACCTAAATACACTTTTGATAATACTATCTCTTGTTTGTTGTTTTTGCTTTTACTGTCATCACTAATTATAAGCAGAATGAGATATTCACAGCTGTGACTTGTTAAATTCATTTTCTGGGTTTATCGTCCTGTGAACAGCTCATTTTGAGGCAGGGTCTCCTTGTTGGTGGTGGCTACAATGTACCTCACTGAAAATAATGTGTAAGAGCCCACCCATCAAAGGCTATCTTGAGCAATTTCCGTACAGTGTCATACCAGAGGACGATCTGTGACCTCAGCTTCATCAGACACAAAAACTACCTCCGGTAGAGGTGAAACCACACACTTCGGACCTTAACCACAGGTTGATGTGTGTAAAATCTGCCAACTGGGAAATCTCAAAGACTCATCTTGTTTAAGGTTCATTAGACAAAACCAAGGTACAATAAAGACATCTACTTTGATAAGTTTATTAATCAAAAACATATATCCCTTTACAATGTGTTTGTAAAAGTAACAATATGACTAAGTTGAATTGAAATTTCAAATGGCACAACTAATCCAGAGACTGACATCAAACATTCCCCATTCCCTAAGACCCCAATACAAAAATAAAGCCTTTATGCAATTCTTTGGGGAAACCTTATTGCCAAGATATGTTCAAATACACACAATGTCAATTATAAGTTGGTATATTCCTGGCATGTTTTTTAAGAAACTGAATAAAAACATCTAAAGGACAGCTTTTTGTAAAAGTACATTCAGATAATGAAGGATAAAGATTGTGTGATAGCTCTACCATCTATATCTACGTACAGGGTAGGTACTGTCCCAGACTATCAATGATTTCTGTGATAGCTCTACCATCTATATCTATTTACAGGGTAGGTACTGTCCCAGACTATCAATGATTTCTGTGATAGCTCTACCATCTATATCTATTTAAAGGGTAGGTACTGTCCCAGACTATCAATGATTTCTGTGATAGCTCTACCATCTATATCTATTTACAGGGTAGGTACTGTCCCAGACTATCAATGATTTCTGTGATAGCTCTACCATCTATATCTACTTACAGGGTAGGTACTGTCCCAGACTATCAATGATTTCTGTGATAGCTCTACCATCTATATCTACGTACAGGGTAGGTACTGTCCCAGACTATCAATGATTTCTGTGATAGCTCTACCATCTATATCTACGTACAGGGTAGGTACTGTCCCAGACTATCAATGATTTCTGTGAAAGCTCTACCATCTATATCTACGTACAGGGTAGGTACTGTCCCAGACTATCAATGATTTCTGTGATAGCTCTACCATCTATATCTATGTACAGGGTAGGTACTGTCCTAGATTGTATAAATAATTTCTGTGATATCTACCCCCAACCTTGTTTCAGCAGTACTGTTACATTATTATAGGAGTGCTATTTTTGAAAGGGTTAGGAATGTAATACTATGGTTTTGATACCTTATGGAATGTTCAAGAAATAATCTGGACTAAGAGTTGTACACAGATATCATAAGTGGATTTGGATCGACTAGATTAACATATAAGGAATGGTTAAGGATATAACAAGGGATTGTAAAATTCAATCAAAAACATTACAAATATACAAAATATTTTACACGCATTGCAGAATGCAACATTCAAAATACATCTGTTAGGAATATGGATGTCTGACATATTTCTTTGACTATTAAATGAATAAAAACTTGTCCTGAGTAACTATAAATCAATTAAGTTAGAACTATTAAACATCTTACACTCACATATTTAATTAATTATCAAATTTAACAAATGAATAAAAGTCTCTCCACCAAGAAAAATTCAACAGAAAACACAAGTAAAAAAAAAAATTTCAAAGTGTGAAAATAATAAAAATGGTAAATTCATGTGTCATCTTAAATCAAATAATAATTGACTTATGAAAATGTTATTACATAATCCATTGTTGTAAACACAATTCTCATCACCAAACAAAATTCTAAGAGAAAAGACTAAAATAATTATGAATATACTCAGTATTACATTCGTCTTGGGTATTACTTTACATAGTTTAAAAACAATACTGGCTTGGCTTTATGCACTGTCTAGAACAGTTTAGAATGGTGGGACTATTCAGGCCTTCCTGTTCAGACTTGGTTACAGTGGTTCAATGGTGGGACTATTCAGACCTTCCAGTTCAGACGTGGTTACAGTGGTTCAATGGTGGGACTATTCAGACCTTCCAGTTCAGACTTGTTTACAGCTTTTCAATGGTGGGACTTTTCAGACCTCCAATTCATACTTGGTTACAGTGGTTCAATGGTGGGACTATTCAGGCCTTCCTGTTCAGACTTGGTTACAGTGGTTCAATGGTGGGACTATTCAGACCTTCCTGTTTAGACTTGGTTACAGTGGTTCAATGGTGGGACTATTCAGACCTTCCTGTTCAGACTTGGTTACAGCTTTTCAATGGTGGGACTATTCAGACCTTCCTGTTCAGACTTGGTTACAGTGGTTCAATGGTGGGACTATTCAGACCTTCCTGTTCAGACTTGGTTACAGCGGTTCAATGGTGGGACTATTCAGACCTTCCAGTTCAGACTTGGTTACAGCGGTTCAGTGGTGGGACTATTCAGGCCTTCCTGTTCAGACTTGGTTACAGCTTTTCAATGGTGGGACTATTCAGACCTTCCTGTTCAGACTTGGTTTCGGCGATGGAAGCGTTCAGGCCCTCCTATTCAGACTTGGATACAGTGGTTCAATAGATGTATTATTCAGGCCTTCCTATTCAGACAAGGATACAGCAGTGTAATGGTAGGAATATTCATGCCTTTTTATTTAGACAGGGATACAGTGGTGTAGGAACTCTTCAGATCTTCCTATTTAGACAGGGATACAGTGGTGTAGGAACTCTTCAGATCCTTCTGTTTAGACAAGGTTACAGCAATGGTGGAACTCTTCAGATCTTCCTGTTTAGACAGGGATACAGTGGTGGAACTCTTCAGATCTTCCTATATAGACAGGGATACAGTGGTGGTGGAACTCTTCAGATCTTCCTATATAGACAGGGATACATTGGTGTAGGAACTCTTCAGATCTTCCTATTTAGACAGGGATACAGTGGTGGTGGAACTCTTCAGATCTTCCTATTCAGACAGGGATACAGTGGTGGTGGAACTCTTCAGATCTTCCTATTTAGACAGGGATGCAGTGGTGGTGGAACTCTTCAGATCTTCCTATTTAGACAGGGATACAGTGGTGGTGGAACTCTTCAGATCTTCTTGTTTAGACAAGGATACAGTGGTGGTGGAACTCTTCAGATCTTCCTATTTAGACAGGGATACATTGGTGTAGGAACTCTTCAGATCTTCCTATTTAGACAGGGATACAGTGGTGGTGGTGGAACTCTTCAGATCTTCTTGTTTAGACAAGGATACAGTGGTGGTGGAACTCTTCAGATCTTCCTATTTAGACAGGGATACATTGGTGTAGGAACTCTTCAGATCTTCCTATTTAGACAGGGATACAGTGGTGGTGGTGGAACTCTTCAGATCTTCCTATTTAGACAGGGATACATTGGTGTAGGAACTCTTAGATCTTCCTATTTAGACAGGGATACAGTGGTGGTGGTGGAACTCTTCAGATCTTCCTATTTAGACAGGGATACAGCGGTGGTGGAACTCTTCAGATCTTCCTATTCAGACAGAGATACAGTGGTGGTGGAACTCTTCAGATCTTCCTGTTTAGACAGGGATACAGTGGTGGTGGAACTCTTCAGATCTTACTATTTAGACAGGGATGCAGTGGTGGTGGAACTCTTCAGATCTTCCTGTTTAGACAGGGATACAGTGGTGGTGGTGGAACTCTTCAGATCTTCCTATTTAGACAGGGATACAGTGGTGGTGGAACTCTTCAGATCTTCCTGTTCAGACAGGGATACAGTGGTGGTGGTGGAACTCTTCAGATCTTCCTGTTCAGACAGGGATGCAGTGGTTCCATTGTAATCGTTTTGTGGACACCCACTGATGTGAGGCACAGTGTAAAACTTATTGGATGTAGGATTCTCTGTGGTCTTGACAACAACTTTGGGAAGCCAACATTTTCATAAGTCTGGAATAAGAGATATAGTCTCAAATAAACACTATTAACAGAGTAACAGACAATGACAATTACATAATAAAAATATTGACTGGTTCCAACCTTCCTTAAGCTTGTGGCCAAGTTTATCAGGTAATTCTTTAACATAAATTTGCACTGTATGGATGGTTTGACAGAAGAAATTAGATATCCCAGAAGGATCTTGGCAACCACTGTTGTTTGATCTTTATTTGTTCTATAAAGTTGGATCTTTTCTCTACTTTTCTCTTCTTTGCTGTTTTTGTTCATCATTTTGTGAAATTTGAAAATTCCTCTTGAGAAATAGCCATAATTAGGTAATCAAAGATGGCCGTCTGTCAGCCACTTTGTTATTCTGATCAGTCTCAAAATCAAAAGGACACAGCTAGGGACTAAAGGAAGCCTTCATATGAAACAAGAGGCCAAGCAGTCACCTGAGATAAGCAATATTTATCACAAAAGGTTAAAGGTTGAGACCAATTTTGGTAATTAAAGCACCCTAAGATGCTTCCATCCATTTGATTCTACCATACCTGGTTGTTGAAAAGAAGACTTTTGAAAGCAATTTGACCCCTTTTGGCCCCGCCCATCAGCCCCTTTGGGTAAACCAGGATTAATATAAGCATATCATCAAGCCGTAATCCTTCACTCATAACTCTAACCAAGTTTAAAATATTTCCAATGGAAATTAAACAAAGTATGAACTACATTGTTATGAAATTCACATTGTTGGTTAAGCACCTTAAGATGCTTCCAATGATGAAGAGTATTTATTCTACCACATCTGACTGTTGAGAAGATTTTTGAAATCTGAGTCAGTTTGACCCCTTTTTGGCCCTGTCCATCAGCCCCTGGGGGTCAGATAGTATCAATATATGAATACCATGAAGCCATCATCCTTCACTTATAATTCTAACCACCCTGTGGGGTGGGGACTGTCTAATTCACTATTTTGTTCATCATAGGCCAGGGAAGGTTTCTACAAAATTTCATTGAAATTGGTTCAGGGGTTTTTGAGAAGAAGTTGAAAATGTTAAGTTGTTTAGGGATGCACAATGCAGGAGGTGATTGCTATAGATCACCATGAGACTTTACCTCAGGTGACCTAATCAGAGAAATATCCATCTTATGTTTTTTTCAAAAAACATTCTTTCATTATCAAAATACAACATTGGTACCTGCCAACCACCTTGTTTTTCCAATCAATCCCAAAATGGACTACATATTTATAACTAGGAACCAAGAAAATTCAACGTATGAAATTTGAGAGTGGTCCTTCCAGTGCTTCTATGACTGTCAAACTCAAAGGTAATCACCCGACGGCCATCTTGTCATTCGATAAGTCCCAAAATTAAATATGCATCATTACATACTAAGGTAAACCTACATATGAAAAAGATTTATCCAACACTTTCCCAGAAATATACAAATTAATTATCATTATCCAGTGCTTCTCCAGAAATAATGATAACAGAATTGTTTAAGGATGGATAAACACTGATGAAGGATAATTTGATAAGCCCACCATCTTTTGCTTGGCTTTGTCAAAGGAAACTACAATCTAAACATTATGACTCTTTGCCTTCTAATACTGAAGAAGAAGAACTAGGAGGTGTGAAACTTATTCATAATGATACCATGGGGTAGATATGAACCAAATCTGATGAGAGGTTCTCAGATTCTTAAGAAATAACTTTTATTTGGAAAGGATGGAAAGACATTGGTAATGCCATAAATCCACTCCAGAACATGACAATGGCAACAAAATTTAACTGAGCATTACAGACAAGAGATCCCAGAGGGATCTTGGCATCCACCATTGTTTGAGCTTTATTTGCCCTTCGAAAGTTGAATCTTTTCCCTTCTTTTCTCTTCCCTTTTTTAGCTCTTAATGATAAGACATTTGAACATTCCCTTGCAGAAATGGCAATGATAATCTTTACTTGCCAAATCCAAGATTGTCACCAGGAAGCCATTTTGTTTTTTTTTCTGATCAGTTCCAAAATCAAACAGGCACAAGTTGAGACCAAAGGGAACATATGTATGAAATTTGATAGCGATCCATTTGATATTTCTTAAGAAGTCAGCCATTTGTTTTTCTGTTCAGTCCCAAACTCAAACAGGCACAACAAAGGACAAAGAGGAGGAACCTACCAATGAAATTTGAGAAACATCTATGCAGTATTTCTCAAGAATAACAAATAACAAACTTTACATAGCAAAAGCCAAGATGGCTGCCTGTCAGCCATTTTTTTCCCTGATCAGTTCCAAAATTAGATGGGCACATTAGAGACCAAGGAAAACACACATATGAAATTATAGAGAGATCCATTGAGTACTTTCCAACAAATAGCTATAACAATCTTCATTGAAAAATCCAAGAGGGTTGCCTTCGGCCATTTTGTTTTTTTGATCAGTCCCAAAATCAAACAGGCACAACTAGGGACCAAGGGGAATATGAAATTGGAAAGAACCATCCAGTACTTCTCAAGAAGTAGCGACAACAGAAATTGTTTACAGAGAGACGGACAATGAACCACACACGTAGGGCAGATGGTGGGCTAAAAATGTCCATCAAATTCTAAAACTTAGTGGCATTGAATGTTATGTATACTAAAGCTTAATGAAACAAAACCATTACCTGTAAGGTGTAATCACCGAGCTGGAAGACAAATTTTCTTTTTTCTTTTGCAAGGGTACCACATAGACTGTACTTATTCCCAGAATTCTGCAAAAATATAGCCACACCTACAGGTATAAACAGACTCTTCATGTGTTATTATCAAAGTTAAAAAAAAAACTTTCATATTTCTTGAGAAGTCCAAGTTTGAGCACTTATTTCAGTCATCTCTCACAGAGAAATTAACAATGATTTGGTAGCACAGACAGAACCTGTTATTACCTTAATGTAGATGGATGGCCCACTTTCTATATTACAGTATACAGGGTCTGTTTGTAGTAAAGTGTTTAGTGTCTGCTTGTGAAGGAAAAGATCAGATCCAGCTTGCCGTCCTGAAACATATAAAAAGCTGTAAATAGTGCTTTCTTTGTTTTTCCACAAACTTATACAGATCTGGGGATTATAATAGGGCTTTGGCTTCACTAAGGCAAATCGTATATCAATCTTTGAGTAGCTAATAATTTCAATGGCAAGAGTTTTATCTACTACAAAAGATTATGTATACTAAACATACATAATTATGTTGTTGTGAAGAAAACCTATACATAAGTGACCAAAGTAAAGGACTACCTGAGCTATCTTTGATCCTTGTCATCCTTCTACTAGGAGATTCATCACTTTCTGAAAATAAAACCAATTCTCAAGAAAACAACTTTTTATTTCTGTATCCAAATTATTTTAATATGCCAACAAATCCACTTTATGAACACAGATAATATATAATGACTACAGTAGTGAACATACCTGGGTCTGGAGATGTGATGTCATATCGATATGATCCGGTCTCATTTCTAGACAATGATTGGCTAACTTCTTTATGATGCTAAAATAAAAATATTACTAGTCATCAATATAAAACATGTGTTGGTATAAATAACAACAGGAAGTTGAGACATCTACATTGAACACGAAAGTGCTAAATCAAACAATAACATACCAATAGTTTCTGTTTTTGTTTCTTGTATAGTTCCAGTACCAACTCCTTTTCTGATTTTGACATGAGAGAAGTGGTGGTGTTGAAAGTGATCTGGGGTGAATCATTCTGAGGTATGATCACTGATTGTCTCTCAGCTCTCTCTGATGAATCTACTTCAGCTTCTTTACTATTCTGTATTTATAATCCAAATAATTATCAATAAATCTACTAACACTAAAAACAACTCTATGTAAATAAATGACACAATTTTGTGTTTTCTAATCCTTGTTCAAGGTGCCAACATACATCAAAAATGATATACTGTGGTAACATATGTAACATACACTTATTTCTATTGATAAACTGGACCTCAAGAAAAATTTTTTTTTTTAGCAAATCTGACCCCTAAAAACTCTCCATCCCAAGTACCTGATTGCAAATTTTCAAGGTCCCGAGTCTTCTAAAATTTGAGATGATTCTAAAATGACTTTAACATATTTGAATCATGTGATTTAGAACAAAAGTAAAGTTTATTTTCATGAGGGAAATAGTACTACACCTCAGGTACTTATTGCCTACATAGATTGTCTTTGATCTTATGGAACTCAAGTAGAAAACTCTCAAAGTTAATAGACATATTTGATCCCTGTAACCTTGTCCAATGTCATTGATATGAGGAAAATGAAAAAAATCTCTGGACAAGATTAAAATGCTGAAAAGAACAAAGAGCAATCACTTTTTACATGTACTTGAATTGAAATGTTATTCAGGAGAACACAATCTCATGTTGTTGTTTTCAAGCCTACCAAGTTTCAAAGAAATTTGATGAAAACTGATGGAGGCAATACCTGGACAAGACAAGAATGTTCAAAAAACAAATCAAAGGAAATTTCCTAAATTGTAAAATCACAATGCTAGGAAGGTAAACACCATTTCATGTAATGATTATTACACCTACCAATTTTCAAGATTCAGAGAAATTGGTCAAAAAACTGAGGAAGGAGACCTCAATACAAAATAAAAAAGCTGAAAATAACAAAAGGGCAATAACTCTATCAAAAATTGTTGAATCAATTTCTTTGTAGGAAAACACAACTTATTGTCATGGTAATTAAGCCTGCAAAAGTTTAAAAGGAATTGTTTGAACTGAGAATAGATCTGCAGCAAAGATTAATATCATGAAAATAACAAATGGCAGTGACTTTTCCAAATAAAGACAAAGAAAACTGATTTTCAGAAAAATGACTTCATGTCATTGTGATAATGATAGAAAGTTCAATAGAAATTGGTTAAAACTGAGATCTTCAGATGAGATTAATATTAAGAAACAAAGAAGGGCAGTAACTCCTCCAATTACAGTTGATTGAATATGTTGTTAAAGGAAACACAACTTCATGTCATGGTGATTAATCCTACGTGAACCATAATTAAAAATGATCAGTTGAAATATGCGAGTGGAGATCTCTCAAAAAATAAAAATTAACCACGGATAGATGCCATACTACCATAGGTCCCATCAAAATTTTTTACATGCCTATAAAAATAACACTTACCCAAAGTGAATGTTATCTTTTCTGGTGATGTAGGTTGTCCCCATTGAACATATATGCCATTCTCATTACAAATTCTCTCTGAACTTTGCATTCAATCATATGACCCATATTACCTTAAGCCTTTGACCATCGACTGAAAAAACTTGATACTCTTATGAAGATTAGCAAGTACTGCCATGTATGATTTTTTCACCATGTCAACCAATTTTAACAACTGTTTGACCTGGACCTCTGAATCATGAAAGGAGACATCTCTCCTAAATTTGATCATATTCAATAACATGCTGTTACTCTGAATCTCGCTTACCTTTTCACTCTTAGGATGGTGTTTGTGTTGTCGGCATTGGCTCAAAAGATAATGTGGAAGGATAAAGATCATGTAGAAACCGAAAAACAAATTGAGGAACATCAGCTCACCTCTGGACAGTAACTGTACAGGATTATGACTGTGGATATAAAAAGGTTGTATTGAGGAACATCAGCTCACCTCTGGACAGTAACTGTACAGGATTAGGACTGTGGATATAAAAAGGTTGTATTGAGGAACATCAGCTCACCTCTGGACAGTAACTGTACAGGATTATGACTTTGGATATAAAAAGGTTGTATTGAGGAACATCAGCTCACATCTGGACAGTAACTGTACAGGATTAGGACTGTGGATATAAAAAGGTTGTATTGAGGAACATCAGCTCACCTCTGGACAGTAACTGTACAGGATTATGACTGTGGATATAAAAAGGTTGTATTGAGGAACATCAGCTCACATCTGGACAGTAACTGTACAGGATTATGACTGTGGATATAAAAAGGTTGTATTGAGGAACATCAGCTCACCTCTGGACAGTAACTGTACAGGATTATGACTGTGGATATAAAAAGGTTGTATTGAGGAACATCAGCTCACATCTGGAAAGTAACTGTACAGGATTATGACTGTGGATATAAAAAGGTTGTACTGAGAAACATCAATATTGGACTGGATTTATACCGGGTTTTTAAAAAAAAAATAGTGACTAAATGGTTTAATCATGTGATATTCAAACATATTGAGTATAACCCATGATTTGTTTTCATTGTTTGTATATCATTAATCATACCCAAATCTCACCCATAAGAAAGAATAACTGTTGTAATGCGGAAGAATAGAAGCTCAGCATAGTCATCCTCGAGACTCCTGGGGATTTGATCACTTTCACTCTCTGTCATGGCAAAATCTAAGGCAGAAAAGAAGTAATTTCATTGGTTCCAGGAGAAAAAAACTGACCTTTCACAGCCCAATACACTCCTTTTGAAGATTACAAAGGAGTGACACCCAGCTTCACAGCTATTACAATATACTGTTATGTAACCTCGAGATTTGTCTGATGTTTACCAAAGGATTGTCCTAGTTTTTTCATCTTGTCCACAGGGTACCGCACATGGAACCTTCAATTTTGTCACGACATGTTCCAGGGGTGCAGAGAGAAAGTGATCTTAACTCCTGGAGTATCAAGGATGAGAATACATAGCTCAGCACAGAGCATTGAGTTACATATTATTTCTCAAGCATGTATAACCTGAAGAACAATCAATAAGATTAACACAGATTGCCTTTGTACAACAGAGCATTAATGATGCTTTCCTTAATGCTGTTTAACTGTGAGACAAACTTACTTGACAGGATGAACTGGTACTCCATCTTCATTGTATGTTACATCAAATGGTTCTAACTCCCGTTCATAGTATGTATACAAAGGTTTGTCTCTGAGCAAGAGACAAAGACCCCACTGACCAACATGTATTGGAAAGGCCAAACTCAGTAAACCTTTCACAAAGCCTAAAAAACAAAACAAATAATAATGGAAAAATTACAAAAAAAAACCAACAAAACCCCAAAAAACAAAAATAGCTGAGAGTAAACAAGAGGTCCAAGGGCCTTAATGGTCACCTGAGTCACAATGCTTCTTCATGCAACATGTCATGGTATTGATTTTGTTAAAAAAATTTACTTCAGTTATATTGTACATATATAATGCAAATGTTAACTGTGTATACAATAACTGCTGTCCCATACTAAGGCTTCTAACCAAGGTAGAATTAAAACAAATTACGTGTACACTCAAGATTTGAATTTTCCTACATTAAGTCTTCTATTCAGGTCCCCTTTATTATTTAGAATGTATTTCTGGATTGAGTTATTGTATTCATTATTGTGTTTATAAGTGCATTTATATTCAGTGAGTTTTGAAAGCACCTCATTTTACCAATATACTGTTTGATAATTATAACTATTTCATTGCCAACACGGTTACTTGGAAGGAGATTTTGAAAGAGAAAGCCAAACAAGAACAATTTTTTTATTAATTAAGAAAGGGATTAGCAGAGCTTTTAATAAAGATTCAAATGACTGAAGTAAGTTTTGAACCTCTTGACACTCCCATAAGAGATGAGTAATTGTCTCAATTTCAGTATTACATAGAACACAGCAAGGGGAGATAACTAACCTTAACTTAAACAGTAAAGAATTGGTAACCAAGATATGATGAAGTACTCTGTCCTGAAATCACTGAAGCTTTGTACTATTTGTCACCTGAAATGGCATTTTATAATATCAAGTCCAGGATGATTGGTCATTGTCCTGTATTAGTGTGTTCCATTTTTTAGTGCCAGAAGGAATGAGGTCAGAATTATTATATAAGATATCATAGAATATTTTTGAACCTTTTTTATCTCTATCGAAAATTTGTAAATTAATTGGGATGTATGGGTTATTTATATCAACAAAACTGTGACCATTGTTTGGGACAATTTTTTTTATTGCTGAGATAAGACCCTGATACCTAAGGAAGTTTGCATTTACTCTGTATTTTTGAATAAATTCTTCAAAAGACCAAAAAGTTCCAGTGTTCAGATTTTTCATCAAATCATTTACAATAATTATGTAACATTCATGCCGCTTTCTTAAGAAAAGTGTTTTCCCTCCAACCAGAATTTGTCTGTTATACCAAATTGGGACTTTGTATATGTTTTCCTGGAAGACTTTGTTATCATATTTTAACTGAACTTTATACCAAGCATTTAGCACATCAGAATTTATTTTTAATTTTACATAATCAATACCACATGTTACCAACAGATCTGTATTGATATAGGATTTTAAAATAGCTTGCCATTTCTCTGTTGTTTGAAACATTCTTCTTATCCAGGTAAGTTTCAATGTTTCTATGAAAGTAGTAAGGTTAACCATTTTTAATCCCCCTCTTGTATAATTTTGAGTAATTACCTCCCTTTTTACCTTATCTGGCTTACCATTCCAAAGATGGTCATAAAGAACCGAGTTCAACTTTTTGAGAAACTTGTCATCAGGGTTAGGTAAAGAGATAAACAGGTGATTAAATTGGAATATGAGAAGAGATTTAATAATACTAATTCTTCCAATTGGGGTCATGAAATTTACCATTTTGGTAAAGCATCTGAAGGCCTTTCCATCCATGAAGAGTACATGATTCTACCATACCTGGGATTTGAGAAGATTTTTGAAGTTTCAATCAGTTTGACCTAAGGTTTTTGTAAAATTTCATTGAAATCAGTTCACAAATTTTCGTGAAGACATAAAAAATGACAAAAGTTTACAACGCACGATGCTGGATAAAAGAGGATCACAACAGGTCTCCCAGGGACTTTGTCTCAAGTGACCTGAAAATTTTCAGGGACAAGAGTTCCTCGGAACTGTATGTGTCGCCTGCATAAAGTGTCACAGTCACCCAGAAATTGAAATGGATGTGCAACAATCAACCATAAAGTTGTAATACCAAATTTCATTTCTATAACTTGAAGCATAAAGGGAAAAGTGCGCAAAGCAATATTCCTGAGAAATTTTGCAAGTTCAAATGGGCATAACTCAGCCAAGAAGGGTCACAGACAGCATATAGCAAATGTCATTTCTATAACTCAAAGCATAACCAATGAAAGTCAAGAAAACAATATTCCTAGAGAATTTTCTGAGTTCAAAGGGGCATAACTCCGCCAAGAAGGGTAACAGACAGCCAGGAATAAAACTTAATCTGTACCCCTGCAACAAAAAATCATATACCATATTTCATTTCGATAACTCAATGCATCAGCCAAAAAAATCCGGAAAACAATATTCCCAGGAAATTTTCTAAGTTGAAAGGGGCATAACTCTGCCAAAAAGGGTCACAGACAGCCGGTAATCGAACGCAATCTGTACCCTTGCAACCAAAAGCCATATGCTAAACTTCATTTTGATAACTCAAAGCATTACCGAAAAACGCTTGACGAAGGACGAAGTGATCCCTAAGTGTCCGCCAGCTCTGCAGGCGACACAACAATAACAAGTACACAGACAAACTCTACTTTTCATGAAAAGCTATGCAGTACTGATTACAGACAGGTCAGCAAATGCCAAACAGTGTACTTGACCATTTATACATCTCCTGTACTTACACATCTCCTTATTTGATATTGAATACTGAGTAGTTTTAGAAAGTGATTGACCTTGACCTTTGAAATTCAATGAAGTCATGATTCTATGACTATCTTGAAAAAAAAAACATCAGATGTGGATGGATAGACCAGTCAGAAGACAACACCATAATTTCTTCTGCTAGCTTTGGTTACTTAAGATGATGATATTTTCACCTGTGATGTATAGTAGAAATTGCTGTCTTATTATTTCATTGGAGTGACAATATTGATGTTACAAATGTTATTTTATATCTTTTTACACTACATGTATTTTCTATTGATATTTCATGATATTACTTACGGTATGTACAAAATTTCACTGAAATCATGCTGATTGTTTGTGAAAAGTAGACTTAGATAGTATAATGTGGGTATCATTTAAAAAATGCAGAACAGCTTGATAAGCACACTTTCCCAATCACTGTTAATTACCTATAATGATGAGCACCACAAGAACAATGAGAAGGACAAATCTGTGATCACCCGGTCCAGAGAAGTAGCCCTGGACTATCACTGAGTGAAGGTGAGATAAACGGAGGGCATCAGTCTGTAGAGTAAAGTTTGACTGGAACTTCTCACTCTGGCACTGCAAAAACAATACAATAATTACACTGTTTGGCATACATGGTATAAACAACATTATCTGGCTTGCAATATCAATGATGTTGCACTTTAATAAAAAACACAGTCTTTTAGAATGTTTCTTTAGCTTTCACCAGAACTTAAGTGTTGATCACCATCCTTAAATGACTACAGAATAAGCCAACCTACAAAATAAGCCTGAAAACCTATAGTTTCTTACATATATTTACATATATTTACATATATTTGGTTATAATTAAAATAAGTCACATTGTCAAACACTATAGATTAACATGCTGGGTTAATCAAGCAATGTTGTTGACTAGTCTTGTCCTTTCTCAGGCTTCCTAAGGAAATTGATGAACTTAACCTCTTCACCTGTTGTGATTTATTTTCTAAATGATTACTCCTCCATCAATCATACTGTGTACCTTCATGTATCCAGATGAGAGGTCTAGGAACCCAGAATCAACCAATGAAATTAAACAGGTGTTGGATCTTACTACCCCAACCCCTTTCCCCACCTTATTAAATAATTATTAGATAAAAACTTCCATACTCAAAGGGATATTATACTTACTGTACAGCTGATATTTTCCAGACATATACAGATCTCTTCCTCTCTGAACCAAAATCCGCGCTCACTGACAATGTGTAGACGGTAGTTAGAGACCGAAACTGGCAAAATGAGATAACAAACCAAGTGTAAATCACTGAAATGTGATGAAATTAGAATGTGCTGAGTATATCAAAATAAGTAGAAAGGCAATGCTAACTGTTGTAAAGCTGTGATAGGAAGCATAATTCAGGATTAAAATGGTGGCAGTTGATAATGTGGCTAGAGTATTAATGTTGTTGGTTAGTATAAAACAAAGTCTAAAGAACTTCCCTGCAACCTTTCATTTGCTGAAAGCTTGGTTATCATCTTTCAACCCAGTTGCTGGAAATTCTATCTATTTCTAACAATGTTAAATCTAGGAGATTCTTCATTTTAGAAAACATTCTGATCTTGCCTTATTTGCTGAGTCCAAGACAAATTTCAGAAAAGGTAAATTTAAGTCAGATTTTACACAAGACTCGGCCAAATGTATAGACATGCATGATCAACTGGACATCACACTACAATGTATGCTGGTGACATACCTGTACATGTTATTACTTGGTGAGAAGCCAAGCTGTGAATTTTGAAGACCGCATCAGCAGAATGGTGGGCTGGGACATCTACCTGTACCTTTGTGTTTTTGGAGGTAATTTGACTGGTGTTACAGGAGTGGAGAGACACAGTGTAGGTCTCCCTCACAAGACCAGGGTTGTACACAGACACTGTCACTGTGTGTATTTTCTGTGCTTTGGTGTGAGTTATCTTGGTAATTAATGCTGATTTCCTGATTAAAACAAATATTCATCAAGTGATAAAGTTAGAATTAAGGAAAAGATTCAATTATCTAGTGTGAATGAATGTGGCTGGATTATCTAGTGTGAATGAATGTGGCTGGATTATCTAGTGTGAATGAATGTGCCTGGATTATCTAGTGTGAATGAATGTGCCTGGATTATCTAGTGTGAATGAATGTGGCTGGATTATCTAGTGAATGAATGTGGCTGGATTATCTAGTGTGAATGAATGTGGCTGGATTATCTAGTGTGAATGAATGTGGCTGGATTATCTAGTGTGAATGAATGTGCCTGGATTATCTAGTGTGAATGGATGTGGCTGGATTATCTAGTGTGAATGAATGTGGCTGGATTATCTAGTGTGAATGAATGTGGCTGGATTATCTAGTGTGAATGAATGTGGCTGGATTATCTAGTGTGAATGAATGTGGCTGGATTATCTAGTGTGAATGAATGTGGCTGGATTATCTAGTGAATGAATGTGGCTGGATTATCTAGTGAATGAATGTGGCTGGATTATCTAGTGTGAATGAATGTGGCTGGATTATCTAGTGTGAATGAATGTGCCTGGATTATCTAGTGTGAATGAATGTGCCTGGATTATCTAGTGTGAATGAATGTGGCTGGATTATCTAGTGAATGAATGTGGCTGGATTATCTAGTGTGAATGAATGTGGCTGGATTATCTAGTGTGAATGAATGTGGCTGGATTATCTAGTGTGAATGAATGTGCCTGGATTATCTAGTGTGAATGGATGTGGCTGGATTATCTAGTGTGAATGAATGTGGCTGGATTATCTAGTGTGAATGAATGTGGCTGGATTATCTAGTGTGAATGAATGTGGCTGGATTATCTAGTGTGAATGAATGTGGCTGGATTATCTAGTGTGAATGAATGTGGCTGGATTATCTAGTGAATGAATGTGGCTGGATTATCTAGTGAATGAATGTGGCTGGATTATCTAGTGTGGATGAATGTGGCTGGATTATCTAGTGAATGAATGTGGCTGGATTATCTAGTGTGAATGAATGTGGCTGGATTATCTACTAGGAATGGATGTGGCTGGATTATCTAGTGTGAATGAATGTGGCTGGATTATCTACTAAGAATGGATGTGGCTGGATTATCTAGTGTGAATGAATGTGGCTGGATTATCTAGTGTGAATGAATGTGGCTGGATTATCTACTAAGAATGGATGTAGCTGAATTATCTAGCGTGGATGAATGTGGCTGGATTATCTAGTGTGGATGAATGTGGCTGGATTATCTAGTGTGGATGAATTATCTAGTGTGGATGAATGTGGCTTGATTATCTAGTGTGGATGAATGTGGCTGGATTATCTAGTGTGAATGATTGTGGCTGGATTATCTAGTGTGGATGAATGTGGCTGGATTATCTACTGTGGATGAATGTGGCTGGATTATCTAATGTGGATGAATGTGGCTGGATTATCTAGTGTGGATGAATGTGGCTGGATTATCTAGTGTGAATGATTGTGGCTGGATTATCTAGTGTGGATGAATGTGGCTGGATTATCTAATGTGGATGAATGTGGCTGGATCATCTAGTGTGAATGAATGTGGCTGGATTATCTAGTGTGAATGAATGTGGCTGGATTATCTAGTGTGGATGAATGTGGCTGGATTATCTAATGTGGATGAATGTGGCTGGATTATCTAGTGTGAATGAATGTGGCTGGATCATCTAATGTGGATGAATGTGGCTGGATTATCTACTGGGAAAGGAGGTTTGATTATCTGTGGTGCATGCAGGTGGCTGGATTATCTACTGGGAAAGGAGGTTTGATTATCTGTGGTGCATGCAGGTGGCTGGATTATCTACTGGGAAACAAGGTTTGATTATCTATGGTGCATGCAGGTGGCTGGATTATCTGCTGGGAAACAAGGTTTGATTATCTATGGTGCATGCAGGTGGCTGGATTATCTGCTGGGAAACAAGGTTTGATTATCTATGGTGCATGCAGGTGGCTGGATTATCTACTGGGAAACAAGGTTTGATTATCTATGGTGCATGCAGGTGGCTGGATTATCTACTGGGAAAGGAGGTTTGATTATCTGTGGTGCATGCAGGTGGCTGGATTATCTACTGGGAAACAAGGTTTGATTATCTATGGTGCATGCAGGTGGCTGGATTATCTACTGGGAAACAAGGTTTGATTATCTATGGTGCATGCAGGTGGCTGGATTATCTACTGGGAAACAAGGTTTGATTATCTATGGTGCATGCAGGTGGCTGGATTATCTACTGGGAAAGGAGGTTTGATTATCTGTGGTGCATGCAGGTGGCTGGATTATCTACTGGGAAACAAGGTTTGATTATCTATGGTGCATGCAGGTGGCTGGATTATCTACTGGGAAACAAGGTTTGATTATCTATGGTGCATGCAGGTGGCTGGATTATCTACTGGGAAAGGAGGTTTGATTATCTGTGGTGCATGCAGGTGGCTGGATTATCTACTGGGAAACAAGGTTTGATTATCTATGGTGCATGCAGGTGGCTGGATTATCTACTGGGAAAGGAGGTTTGATTATCTGTGGTGCATGCAGGTGGCTGGATTATCTACTGGGAAACAAGGTTTGATTATCTATGGTGCATGCAGGTGGCTGGATTATCTGCTGGGAAACAAGGTTTGATTATCTATGGTGCATGCAGGTGGCTGGATTATCTACTGGGAAACAAGGTTTGATTATCTATGGTGCATGCAGGTGGCTGGATTATCTGCTGGAAATGATGATGGCTCAGTTACCTCCTGCGAATTGAGGAGGTTGAATTATCTGTTCAGCATGGAGGCTGCATTATCTAATGGGATTAAACATGTTAACATCTTATGGATCCACTGTAATCTTACTTGTCTGTCCTATATGTTACATTCAGACCACTTTAAATACTAAACTAGCTGGTTAGAAGTAACTATAATATAGATACTTACCCGTGTCTGGTTGGATAAATGTTGTCAACTTTAGCTTGAAGGATGAGGTTAGCTGACAACCTTCCTTTTGAGAGGAGAGATAATGACAAATTTGCAGATTTTTTAACCAGGGGATTGCTGCTAATCTCAGTGAACCCTGAGAGAAAGTATTTGGTGGGTTTTCTTTGTAGCTGTTTTTGCTTAAATACACAAAAATATAACAATACAGGAATCAGTCAACAGATAAAAACCACATTAATGGTACTTAACCTTAAATTGTGCTTACCGGTAAATACCAAACAAGTCAACGGTGGTTTTTCTCCAGTAGTGGTCAAATATTTAACAAATTAATGTTACTAAACCTTAAATTGTGCTTAAATACCAAACAAGTCAACGGTGGTTTTTCTCCAGTAGTGGTCAAATATTTAACAAATTAATGTTACTTAACCTTAAATTGTGCTTAAATACCAAACAAGTCAACGGTGGTTTTTCTCCAGTAGTGGTCAAATATTTAACAAATTAATGTTACTTAACCTTTAATTGTGCTTAAATACCAAACAAGTCAACGGTGGTTTTTCTCCAGTAGTGGTCAAATATTTAACAAATTAATGTTACTTAACCTTTAATTGTGCTTAAATACCAAACAAGTCAACGGTGGTTTTTCTCCAGTAGTGGTCAAATATTTAACAAATTAATGTTACTTAACCTTTAATTGTGCTTAAATACCAAACAAGTCAACGGTGGTTTTTCTCCAGTAGTGGTCAAATATTTAACAAATTAATGTTACTTAACCTTTAATTGTGCTTAAATACCAAACAAGTCAATGGTGGTTTTTCTCCAGAAGTGGTCAAATATTTAACAAATTAATGTTACTTAACCTTTAATTGTGCTTAAATACCAAACAAGTCAACGGTGGTTTTTCTCCAGTAGTGGTCAAATATTTAACAAATTAATGTTATTAACCTTAAACTGTGCTTAAATACCAAACAAGTCAACGGTGGTTTTTCACCAGTAGTGGTCAAATATTTAACAAATTAATGTTACTTAACCTTTAATTGTGCTTAAATACCAAACAAGTCAACGGTGGTTTTTCTCCAGTAGTGGTCAAATATTTAACAAATTAATGTTACTTAACCTTTAATTGTGCTTAAATACCAAACAAGTAAGTGGTCAAATATTTAACAAATTAATGTTACTTAACCTTTAATTGTGCTTAAATACCAAACAAGTCAACGGTGGTTTTTCTCCAGTAGTGGTCAAATATTTAACAAATTAATGTTACTTAACCTTAAATAAATAGTAGTGGTCAAATATTTAACAAATTAATGTTACTTAACCTTTAATTGTGCTTAAATACCAAACAAGTCAACGGTGGTTTTTCTCCAGTAGTGGTCAAATATTTAACAAATTAATGTTACTTAACCTTTAATTGTGCTTAAATACCAAACAAGTCAACGGTGGTTTTTCTCCAGTAGTGGTCAAATATTTAACAAATTAATGTTACTAAACCTTTAATTGTGCTTAAATACCAAACAAGTCAACGGTGGTTTTTTTCCAGTAGTGGTCAAATATTTAACAAATTAATGTTACTTAACCTTAAATTGTGCTTAAATACCAAACAAGTCAACGGTGGTTTTTCTCCAGTAGTGGTCAAATATTTAACAAATTAATGTTACTTAACCTTTAGTTGTGCTTAAATACCAAACAAGTCAACGGTGGTTTTTCTCCAGTAGTGGTCAAATATTTAACAAATTAATGTTACTTAACCTTTAATTGTGCTTAAATACCAAACAAGTCAACGGTGGTTTTTCTCCAGTAGTGGTCAAATATTAAACAAATTAATGATCATTTACTGCCAGTTGTGATTTAATACCAAAAAAAATTAATGATCATTTATCTCCAGTGGTGATTTAATATAAAAAATAAATGATCATTTATCTCCAGTACTGATTAAACATCAAACAAATTAACAATTGTTTATCTCAAGTAGTGATAAAATATATCTTTGTCACTTTTTTGGACATTTAATCAGGTATATAATGGTTAAATGTCTGAATTGTGGAAAAACTGATATACTTACAATATCATGGAGCCAAAAATGCATTGGTTGATTTTTAAAGCAACTGTGAAAAAGATGATACTACATTAGATCAACATCATTTGGGCAATGAAAGGTGTGTTAATTTTGTATTGTGTTTTGAATATAGGACAGTTTTTCAACCTATTGTAATGCCAGACAACTGACACTGTACTGACAATAAAATAGAAGTGGAAATGGCCATGCTAGTGATGATGTTCGAGAAAAAATATTCCTTTTGTGAAAATTTTCAAAATTTCTTCATTAGTATTAAAAAAAGATATTTTGAATCAATGTTAATCTTAACATGTGAGATCATCATTAAAACTGTCAATATTAACAACGTAAAAGTGACATCTGTAAACACCTGTAACTCAATACTTACCTCTGAGCAGACTTCAAACATCGATGTCTCTGGTCAACAAATGCCCTATAAGACACACCCACTTTATCACAGACACCACCACTAAGAGCCAGATGGTCTCTGTTCAGCACCAGAAACTCGGAAGCATTTCCCTGCAGTGACAGGTAAACATTGTTCTTACCACATCTAGTACCATATAAAAGTTGTGAAAATTTATCCAACAACAGTTTAATTGCATTAATTGGAATAAAAGAAAAATATTAATGGATATACTGTATTCATGTTTTAATTTTTATAAGCATGCATCATTGATAAATCCACACAGATTAATAATACTAACCTGCAACTGAAGAGGAAGTTCTTCACTTTTCACTTCCTTCCCAAGCTGTTCAGGAATCAAAAGAACATTTCTTTTGTAGCCAAGTGGATTCTCATGTTTTGGTTGGTTCTGTATATTCAAGATGCTGACAAAGACCTTTCAGTAGGAAAAACTCAAATCAGTAAATTCATCATGGATTTAGAATATTGTAAAATAATTATCTAAATAAACGTCTTATCTGATTAATTTTCATTGAATTCAAATTTTTTTAAACACTGAAAAGAATTTTTACTTACTAATGATATATGGGAATACTATGTGTCCTGTTGTTAATGGAGGGAAAAGACTGGTGGGAGATGTTCCCACCACCACGTTGTCTCCTGTTATAGACACATTTACCTTGTTGTTATTGGAGAGAGAAGACTGGAGGGAGATGTTCTCACCACCATGTTGTCTCCTGTTATAGACACATTTACCTCGTTGTTACTGGACAGAGAAGACTGGAGGGAGATGTTCTCACCACCACGTTGTCTCCTGTTATAGACACATTTACCTTGTTGTTAATAAGAGAGAGAACACTGGTGGGAGATGTTCTCACCACCACGTTGTCTCCTGTTATAGACACATTTACCTTGTTGTTAATAAGAGAGAGAACACTGGTGGGAGATGTTTTCATCACCATGTTGTCTCCTGTTATAGACACATTTACCTTGTTGTTACTGGAGACAAAATTAGGGGAGGATGTTCCCATCACTATGCTGTCATCTACCACTGGTATGAGACCCCCTGCTCCATCCACTCTATATATTTCCACAGCTAAGTTATATTCTAGGGAAGGCTTTTTCAGCTGATAAACATGGTACCTATATGGAAAGTACATACCATTAATGAACATTTGTTAGACATCAAAACTTTTCAATTCCTCAAACTGTAAAGCTATTTTAAAAAAAAACTTTCTGCAAGAAAACTGAAAAAATCTTTAAGCAAACTTGCTTCATAATGTCTTTTATTTTTTGTATATATGTATCACATGTTAAGACAATGATTTAAGTTGTATATTTTTGAAAGCAGAATTTCTTATCATGAATTAAAAGTAAAGATATTACTTTCTTCTAGCCTTACAAAGAGGCTTCAGCATATACACTAGTATCGTAGAAGTTATTAACATCCTATTTCACAGTTTCAATATAACTACATACACAAGATCCTTTACACAGAAAGTGATAAGACATTGATAAAAGTGAGTACCACAGAGAGTCAAATTTGAGACAATGAGTACTGGAATGGTAGATAGTGGAGTCCTCCAGTAGAGGTGTATGTGTGTCACTACAATCCTGTCCACTGCGGACATGGTAGGAAATGTCACTAGTGTAGCCGTCACAAGAGCAGCAAAATCCATGTAAAGACTAGAACAGATAATGTATCAATTAGTCAACATTTTATAGGCAGGACTCACAATAACCACTTACATATAGGGGACAGATTGGTGCTTTCTTTAGCAACTGTTGCAGCAGCTAAAACAATTATCTCACCATCAAACAATTGTCAACATTTTTTTTCTTATTTCTTTACTACTCACCTCCATGCTACCATGCTATATCCAGAGGTTATTTCCATGTCAGGGAACTATAATTTATCATGTATACTGAAAAGCATATTATGACTTCATAGCACATTCACTTGACACTGAGCAAAAATTATGGCTTTTGAAGAATCAAGGTTTTGAAGAGGAAATATTAAAAGCACTGGCTTAAAGTGTTTTTCTCCAAATTAACTCCAAATATGACCAAAATGATTTCTTGTTATAGGTTATTTATCATATGACATTAAATAAATTCAAGGCTGTTATTTTCCTTCAGAACAACAAGGTTATAATTAATATTCTTGGATGGAACATACATAATATGCATTCACTGAAATAAAATCCTGAAATAAAACTTAAAACTGATTAAAACCAACTTACTCTGTCAGCATCAGACCCTTGTCCAGATGCTCTTCCACACAGTTTCCAAATTGAACTTTTCTTACAACCTTCATAGTTTTTTGTGTTGTCCTTGTGAAAGAAAACTTCATAAGCTTTGTTGTTAACTGTCTGTGTTTGAAGAATTAGAAAAAAAGTGGTAGACAAATTTCATGGTAAATCTTAATCAGTATGTTGTTTAGGAATTTCAAAAACATTCTAACTCGAGCTTCTGAATAAAGATCTTCGTATAAATTAACACATGATGTTAACACAAGTAGACTGAGAAATTAATGTCATTTTACTCAGCTCATTGACTGACCTTTACGTACTCCAGTGGGTACAGAAGACTTGCATCCTTTACATAAACATGTATTACTAATGGATTAAGCAGTTTTACATCTTCCCTATCCTCTGGACAGTATGCTTTATTTACAGTGACAAATTGAGATTCCCCCTTCATCTAAAAATATCAAAAAACAGAATATTTAATTATACATGCACGTGGGAAGTAGTAACATAAAGGTAATCAGTGGATGTTAAATGGTGGTGGGTATGACTGAGAAGGGGGATTTAGCTTCATCATTTCTTCATATCAAGAAGTTATCTTCATTAAAATATGTATTACTCCAAGTTTGATATTATATGCATCCTGGTATCAGAATTATGCTTATTTTTGAAAATTGCAAAACATCTGTGAGAGGTGAAGTAACTTTTTTTCAGTTTAAATATCATGAAATCTAAAAACCAGATCTGAACCAATCTCACCAATTTCAGTGATGTCTTCAATACAATGTCAACCTTTTCTTGACACAAATCTTTAAAAGCACCTTCTTGTCCATGTGTTTTCACATCACAAGTGTGAATCACTGTCTCCATAACTGAAAGTGTTGCTAGAGCATTGTCTGTGTTTAACAGAATACATCCCAGTAAACAGTGAGAAAAGGACATTAACAACTGACAAAACATCTGAAACAAAAAAGAAAAGAAATGAAAAAACAAATATGTCAAATTGGATGCAATTTTCTTAACTTACAAGATATCATTTGATATTTGGCCAAATTTTTAAAAACATAAAACTGCCAATGTAAACGCCTTTGTAGATGTAAATCGCGGGATGTGCAGTTATCAATGACAGCTTATTAGTATACAATAAATATTTAACCGATAACACATTCAGGTACAATCTTCAGCCAACTTCATTCGCCAAATGTTGCATGGCTAGGGTAACATGTATTATATCAAACAGTGACACGTCAACATGGGACAATGTTAGTCTAAATTATTTGTTCAGTGTCAGATGAGTTGTGTTCAATGTAAATATTTGGTAGTGTGTTTACATCCTTATGTTAGTGATACCAGTGATGTCCACGTTTCCCACGATTGGTAATTTACACATTAAATGATTCGTTCCATGAAAGATGCAGAAGAGTATAATTATCCGCATACAGATCAAAACAATATGGCGAAAGAACAATTTTCTGATCACTAGTATAACTTAGATAAAATGCGGATGTGATGAATGTTGCGGAAACTGACACCGGGAAATGCAGACGAACTTTTTCTTCATAGATGGCGTTATTTTTGGGTGCGTTCGATTGATACAGATTTGGTTTCCTTGGATTACTTGCCTTGGTACACCTTTCCTTCGCTAGATCGCGCTCATTGTATTTCCGAATCGAACTCTTGTGGTGAGTAGAAAAAACTATGACAGACAATCCAGATAAGAGGCTGGCGATACTTTAGATACTTTAAAACAGTTTATTTTAGTTTTCATTCTACTATAAATCATTCGAAATACCAATTAATTTCGAACTCAAATCCTGTAATATGAAAGGCAGAATGATATGACCCACAGTTGTATTTTTGTAATGATAGAATACACGAACGCACGACAAACTTCTACAGATAAGATGGGACTGTCGATTGCTAACCGACGTCAATGCTATTCGATGATAGGCATAAATCAACACACGACATTTTGGTAAGAAAACATCACGATTATGGCACCAAATAATTCAGAATCCACATCATTCAAGTAGTCATATTTACATAAAAAATATCACGACCAAATATTTCTATATATATAATTCCAACGCTTGCACATGTAGTCACTTTGTCCGATCGCTCTGGTTGAAATGCGACGGGTCTCCCTTATGCTGTTCAGGGAAGCATTTACTACAAGCAGACCCCTGTCTGAAAATGGCCCTGGCTGTTGACAGAACGATAAACGGTACTGCATAATGAGAATGTGTGTAATGGTTTTATGAGTATCTGCCGTTGTGTTTTAGGATATTTTTACAATACTGAAGCAATATTTATAATGGGTCTATTGGTAGGATGATATATATGTAACAATATAATGACAGCGGTACGTGTCTCGTTGATACTCAATTCATCGACGATTTACTGTCATCTACAGTGTGTAGCGACTCCAAACTTCTTACAAGTAACATATATGTAATATCGTAACGATGTTAGAAGATTTGTGACACTGTATTATCCAAAAGAGGAATTTAAATATGAAATATGAACTAAAAGATGAGCATAAACACTATGAGAAAAACGCCTCTTCGACCAAACCATTTGGCTTTTTCGTTCTGAATGTAAAGGTGTCAATATAGGCAAGCGCTATAGGGGAGACCGGGGCACAGTGAATCGAAAAGTTGTTTTTGAATATTACTTCTTATCAAAGGCATAATTGATTGTCTTTTAAGTGCAAACGATATTGACCCATGGTCAGTGTTTAAACATGTCAAATATTACATGCCAACTTTGACAATTTTAAATATACAAGTGTTTGAATTTTTTTAAAAAGCTGATTCACTGTGCCCTGGCACCGGGGAATAGTGGATCATCACCTGGGGCACTGTGAATCAGACAGAGAAATCAGTGGACCATCACCTGGGGCACTGTGAATCAGACGGAGAAATCAGTGGACCATCACCTGGGGCACTGTGAATCAGACAGAGAAATCAGTGGACCATCACCTGGGGCACTGTGAATCAGACAGAGAAATCAGTGGACCATCACCTGGGGCACTGTGAATCAGACAGTGAAATCAGTGGACCATCACCTGGGGCACTGTGAATCAGACAGAGAAATGAGTGGACCATCACCTGGGGCACTGTGAATCAGACAGTGAAATCAGTGGACCATCACCTGGGGCACTGTGAATCAGACAGTGAAATCAGTGGACCATCACCTGGGGCACTGTGAATCAGACAGAGAAATCAGTGGATTTTTTTTCTCTAAAAAGGATAAAAAATTACAAACATAAATGTTTTGCAAACAGAATTATTTATTCAATAACTAAGAAAAACCAAATTCAGTCTAAATTCAGTAATTTAGACCACAAAATTATCTATCCATTGACAACAACATGTGTGACTAGGTGTCTTCTAAAGTCACACGAGTAAAATTGCCACTAAAACATCGTAAGTAAAGGAACTGTCTATTCATGAACAGCAACATGTGTGACTAAGTGTCTTTCAAAGTCGCATAAACAAATTGAAATGGGTAAACAAAAAGTAAGTCATCAAAACTGTCTATCCTTTTGTCCGGTGACAAGATGTTTGACTGGTTGTCTGATTTTTAAATTCATTTACCGAAGAAATTTTGAACAGGCATGAAAATCCACTGGGAATATTAAATGACGGGCAACACGAGCAGTGCCACCATGCTGAAGAGGCTGTGGCAGCTTTCCAATGATATCAGTAAATGCAATATCAGATATGTCATCAACTGTTGGAAAGACAAATTTGTATGATGAGGAATTACGTCTCATAAACTTAATGTTAAAGGTTTTTTCACCAATATCATCAATGTCTCCATTGCAGCCTATTATTTGTCCTATATAAATAACTTTCGTCTTTTTGGTAAGAAATTGTACTATGACAAAATCCTCAGGGACGAGAGAATCAGAATCAGGCGGTACTATTTCCTCTTCCTCAGCAGATTCATCATATTCAAAGGAATCATCGTCATCTTCACAAATGTTTTTTTCGTTAACTTCCTCTTCTGAACTTGAATCACCTTGACTATCTTTCTGTTGAAATTCAAACCGTAATCCCTTTTTACCTTTTTTTGCTTTGTTTTGTCTCTCTTTGGTTTGCTTTCTTTTCTTTTCCTCGGCATCCTTTTTGATCTGATCTTTTACTGGTGTGTCCGTAAGAATTAGAGTTTTTCCTTTCTTTTGACCTCCTCTACCTTTCCTTGGTGGCGCCTTTGGAAAGGGACTTATTTCTTCTGGTAAAACAACTGCCTGTATTTTTTCTCTAGATATCCTATTTTCAGACGACATTGAACCAGAATCAGAACTTATTAAATTTGCTGCTGGAGTGTTGGCATGGGGAGAAGTCACAGGATCAACGTTGGCGGAAGCTGACGGAGCAAAATCAACGCTTGTCGAAATTGATGCAACAAGATCAGTGTTGGTAGATGTTGATGCAACAGGTTCAACATTTGTGGAAGTTGACACATTAGGGTTAACTGATGAGGAAGCTGAAACAACATGATCAATGATGGTTCCTTCAATGTCTTTCACGTTTTCAGTTATTGGCCTATCTGTTACGTATGAGCCATGAAATCTTCATCACTGAAGATGTTGGCGTCAAAAGGATGGATACCAGATACTTTGAATCCGGAATTGATATTCCTTGGAGTAAATGCCAGTGGGTAAGCTTTGCCGATAATCTGACTTACAATATGAATTGTGATTGGCTGGCCAGGGTGACTTATCATAAAATCATTTGCTGCCTTGGTGTAGAGGCTCTTGAAAGGACCATACACAGAAGGGTCTAGGGGCTGCATTTTGTGACTACAGTGAGGCGGAAGTGTTAACATAGTAACACCATTATCCTTGGCAAGGACAATTGTTTCAATTGATATATGAGATTCATGATTATCTAATATCAACAGAACAGGACGCTCTTTCGAAAATTTGGTTGCCTAAATAAAGTGTTGCATATATACAGTAAAGTTCTCTGAGGTCATCCATCCTGATGGATTTGCTACACCAACAGTTCCAGGCGGAGCTCCATATAGCATGGATTGTTTGAAATGCACACGAGGAAATACCAAGAATGGCGGTACTGAATTCCCAGCAGCACTTATTGTGCCAAGCATTATTACTAATGTTCCTCTTTCTCCCGAAGTGATTTTGCCAACTTGTTTTTCACTTGTACAAGCAACTACTTTAGTGTTTCCAACTTTCTGAACGGTTGTGCACCCAGTTTCATCTGAATTGTATATGTCAGTTGGACTGAAATTATGTTCCTTCATTACTTTCTCCAGGTTATCAAAGAAGTCTTTTACATTTTTCTTGTTGAAACTTGTGGCACGCGATAAGCAGGTTGCTTCTGGACGACGTAAGGACAGGTTAGGATACCTTTTCATATACCCAGCAAACCAATCTTCACCAGCACGTCTGTTCTGCCTCCAAGACTCCGGAAATACTTTATCATTGCGATTTGCATATTCAAATGCTAATTCACGCACTTGCTGTCGTGTCAACCCATAGTGCATTTTAGAGGCTTTGATAAGATATTCCTGTAGAAGTATTTCTTCTTCAGTAAAAACCTGACGGCAGCTGTAATTTGGTGAATATGACATAGATTCTCTGTTTCCATGTTACCGTGCTCTCTGTACATAACGACGCAAGGTTGAAAAAAATAATATCATATGACTTGCAGACATTTCTTATACTCCTTTGTTCTCCGATAACTTTCTGAACGGCCTGTTTCATTTTAGTACTGGTAGTCTTTCCAACTTTCCTATCCTCTTTATTTCTATTACGCACTATGTTGCTGAAAAAGAATATAATATGCAATTATACTAATTAACTTTTATCTGCATAGTAAGTGAAAAGTCAAAGAAATCAATGCCAAGAGCTGAGATAAAAAAAAACATTACTCGGGGCACAGTGAATCACTATTCAAAGTGACTATCAACTGACTATCAAGTGAGTATCTCAAAGGGATTGAGAGCACAAAAATTTACTTTTGGGGGTGTTAAACATACTTTACCTTGCAATTTTTTTTCTGGCTCCAGATAACTGATACTGCAAGACAATTTGGCAGGAACTCTTCAATACACATATACTGATGATGTCATCAGTCTATTAACACAAACCAAATTCTATAAATGATCAATGATTCACTGTGCCCCATGATTCACTGTGCCCCGGTCTCCCCTACCTAAGGTTAATGAATATTTAATTTGGAATCAGACCAATCAAATTTACAGGAGGAGAGTGTCGCCCGGGGGTAAATTAGTAAATACCTGATAACTAGGAGGCTGTCCCAGGGTTCCAGTACACATACAATCATTTACCCCGAGGGACTACCCATAGCTAAGAGTAAACCACAAGCAGTTTAAACCGTACCGTTTATCAGTACAATGCATATATACAGTCCGTATACAATAGACAGAAACCAATACAAGCAGCTCACTAGCCCACATATACCACACAGCCATATTGTTAGTATATCTGGACGACTTCGTAAAGAGGAAAGGAGTAGCCGTCACTCCAGCTCTGATTGTTGACGGGTGGGGGGCATCATCAGCATCACATATATTCAGGGAAACACGAACGACTGATGGAGGAGAATGCTTGGTTAGACCGGAAAACGGTCACTCGGGTTTTTGACTGCCCAACTGGCGATGCGTTAGAGTATGCCGATAAACTCCCCAGCACACTTTCTTTTCATAGACAAAAACTAGAAATGAAGAAGAAATTTAGTGACAAAGATGTCCCTGTGGCGGTCCACTATAAAGTCCAATATATCTTACAGCGAATTCAGACGCTCACATCTGTTAGGTCGGCAACACCACACATGATCTGCCAGCAACAGTAGCGTTTCTCTTAGTTAAAATAGTCACTGCCGCTACCGGCTTGCTTTATGGGAGATTAAAATGGTTACCCCCATGTCAACTTTGTAACCAGTCTAGTAATGGCCTATTCTCCCAATAGGTCTTACAATTTGCTACCAGAAAAATTCAGTTGTCCATTGGTTCATAACATCTAGATTTCGGATCTTATGTATGTAACTATAATTCAATTATGAATTACAATAGTTGGCCACGCACACAAATTGCCAATGCTGAGTCCTTTTAAACACTGCTGAAGGTCAAGTGCAGTTCCATACCATCACGATCTTATTACAAAAGAAAGCAAGGTATATTTCTGGTATTGAAAACAAATTCAAACCAATTTCGTGTTCCTCTGTTGATGTACGATATAAATAAAGCCACAGTAGTAGTATTTCTTTCAAATTTTCTTTATCTAACATTTTTTACTATTTTTTTTATGTAGCGGTACGGAATGTCACCAACAAATAAGAATTTTATTCATCTACCAAAGTGATATTTACGTAAAAATCAGAGCTTAAACTATTCCATTGCTTTTGCTAAATATCAATATTTTGATGCATTGTCCAACATATGTTTTTAAGACAATGCAAATCCAAATGTCTCATTCAGCACAATTTTAAGATTTGTGACGGTGAAGACACCATCGTGACGGTATGGAAAGCGTGTGTTGGTACTGATATTTGTGGTCATCGTAGACAATTGGACGACAGAATACAATGAATTATACATTTTGATTAAATTTAGAAATCTTATTTATCAACTTGTAGAACTAAAGCAATGTATGAAAAATAAAAGGAAACAATAAACGTATTTACATCGAATCAATAATAACAACAAAAATTGTTTACATACAATGTACGTAAAAACTTATTCATTGCCAAAAATCAATCTAATTCTAAATGTTTACAAATGTTAGTCCAAAGACCAGGATCTACTTGGAAATGACGTTTGGTTACTTGGGTGGGTTCTGGTGTCATTGTAATGACGCTAGAAAACATATACCAAATAACATCATCAATCAACGACTAAAAAACCCTGTTCTTTCCTATGCAGTGCATCGTTTTGACCTCAACAGAATCATGATCTATATCCTGTATAATGCCTTGATATGGTCTCCCATCCTACTCAACAACACACCACCTACCAATTTGATCCGGTTCTGGCAGTAACTGAGCCCAGCTGAAGATATTGAGACTTCCACATGACTTGCCTGATTTTCAGCAGACCTGCCTTTGTCACTTCTAAAGGCCACCTCTTCTATATTGGTAGGACCTTCATTTACACGCTCTACCTCATTTTCTTCAGTAATGTGAACCTTTATCGGCTCGAAACATTCGCATTCACGTGGCCTTTTGCAAAAGCATGAAAGGCATCTTACCTTAATGGAGGCTGTTCCCCGATCGCTTAAAACCTGATGCAGGGACATTGTACCGGGGACTGCTTCAACTATACTTGGAATGGTAACATTGATTGCGTGAATAGCATCATCGGTAATCATGTACAGTTTAACTGACAAATCAAGTTTGGATAATTCATGAAAAAGAACATCTGCATCGGTGATATATCTGCCATAACCAACTACTTTATCAGCAAAACGTTTAATGGTTGCTCCGATGCCATCAGGAGCGCCTTTTCCAAGACCAGATTCAGAAAAATTCCAACTAGCGTATTTAAAGCCATACACTGAATGAATGCGAGATTTGAACAAATCTGGACCGATATTGAGACGTCGGCCCATCACTTACAACATGAATCGTGTCTACGTATTAAATACATAATGTGTACGAGTATCGGATATATCGGACTCGTGTGATATATCCGATACATTACCAGTGTCAATTATGTATCTCTTTTATCCAATGACCACCGAGGTTTACTCATCCACGTGTCAAGGGGCGGAGCTAGAACCTATTAGGAGCCAATTAGTGTCGAGTGTCAAGTCGATGATTTTCCCGCTGTTTCTTACCCATCCCATTTTCTGTCACAGTAAGAATTAATTTCATTAGTAGATGTCAGAGATGTCGGAGCTGGACAACGTATGGAAAGACTTTAGAAACATCGACGCCGGTGTTTCCGGCGATCTCGGTGATATAAGAAGTTCAAAACAGAAGAGAACAAGGAAAATGATAGGAATGCTATGGAATGCATAGGCCGTGCTCAGTATCAGTTACACAACTGCAATGTGAACTTTTATTCAATGTAGGGCTATACAGTGTTCATGTGCTGATCTCTGCTCTCGCGTAAGTAACGTGTTGTACTTTTTTACAGAACTGTTTGAATGTGTTAACTAACGTCAAAACGACGAATATCAATTTAACAAATCTCTCTTGTTTTTTTTATATATTTTTTTATGTATTAAAGATTTGTTCGAAATCTGTCCTATGTCTTTGTTTATCTGTCTCGCCCACTTGGAAATGGGCACCACCTCCCTAATGAGGTGTGGACCAATCAGAGAGAACCATGCGATATTTTTAGATATCACATATGTGATATCTGAAATATCGCATGGTATGGGATTTATCACCAGGAAAAGATCAGACATAAACCAAGGCGTCATTGGATAAAACATACATGTATATCATACGTCCCCGATTTTCTCAAGAAAACAGTTGTTCTCAAGATCTATTATCGTGACAGAATACAAGAAAGAAAATAACAACGATGTTGTAATTTGGCTTATAGATGAATGAAAAGAGAAAGTACTTAAAAAAAATGTACTATGGACTTACAAAAAACACCAAGAAATTATTATAATTATCACGTTCTTAATGGCACGTAAACATAAAAAGGTCATTAGGGCCATCAACCGGTAAAACACACAGCGATCCAAAAGGAAATAATATCAAACGAACTAAAATGTAAAAGACAAATGCTAAAAATAATCAATGGGCATATCATCACAAAAGATTAAAATGGTAAGTCATATTCTATAATATAGA